GAAAAACTGGTTTTCCAGAAAACCGGGTCTTAAAGGGCCCTCCGCCCAAATCCTTTTAGCCTTTTTGCCTACTCGAGGTCCTCTATCGAATGATGTATGAACGATCGAAATCGGAGCCGGACACCTGGGGCGGTTCCCTCGTAAGTGAGATTTTCATAAAGTGATTACAAAAATAGATTGAAGTGACATAATGAAAATAAGTATTTTATTATTTAAGTAGGAAAAGTAAGCGGCTTTATTATTTTTTTATCTGTCATCATTCAAGGTATATCAACTCAATTCTGAAAATTTTAGTCAGATTGATTAGAAGTTGATGAAGTAATGCAGAGACGCAAAATGATCGATAATCTATGTTTTCATTCATTTTCAAAGTTCCTCCAACACGTAGAGTTGATGCTTCTCGAAAAAAGCTGTTACTATACCGACAGCATGATAGATGGCGCTTTCAGATTTATGCAGAATTAAAGAATCTTTTTAATTACTTTATGCGAATCTCATCTGATATTACGATGATTAGATGTGTCTAACTCTCTGTTCTATATTCAGAAAAAGTTATCTACTTGACTTCTAGATAATATAACTTGAACTAGAGAGCAATTATGCTGCGCACAAGTTACGATGTCGACAGACTCTGTCTTTAGCAAGTTATCAATTCAGTCAGTAGATTTCCGCTACATCACTCTCACTGTGATTTTCTATTTCAACTACTTTAAAAGACATAATTAGAGAGAATAATAGAAAGGAGAACGAAATATAAAGAACAGAGAAACAGAAATAAGACAATAATTTTTCTTCTTAAGAACAAATGGCGCCGGACAACTAAATATACAAAAATTTCAAAGTCCAAAATACATTCTTCTTTCACTTGTGGTGCTTATGGCATCGAATCTGGACGTTTATTTACGAGAAAAATGTGCATTGATCAATCTCCAATGTCAGAAGAATATCGTACCTTTTCCAGAACTTTTCTAGCTTTCATAGTTCTCTAGATCACGAGGTGCACATTTTACCCAAAAAGGGACGACAAGAAAATAAAAAACAAAATTCCCAGCAAAAATACATAATGTCTGTCGACATAAAAACAATAATTGGCATGTTTGAATTGCCAGTAGAATTAGAAATACCAGCTCTTAATAAATGCCAAATGGGAGAAAAATAAAAGACGTGCTAATGATTTTTTATGGCTTACTGTTTGTTTTATTAGATTACTCAAAATACATCAGTTCAAAATGTTCTCCGTCAATCTGAAGAAAGTCATATTGAACAGGCTATGCTTGATGATAAAATAATGGCAACAGATTGGGAAGCAACACAAGATGAGTTAATTCATCAAGTTGCACGTGAGTCGTATTTACAATGGGTTTGTGAAACTGAACAGCAAATGAATAACGATAAATCAGTAAGTGCTAATAATAACCATATCATTTCATTTTGTACAAATATGTTTTATATTTAGATGCCGTCAACGAGTTATTCAATGACAACATCTGGCAGTGTTATTCATCCTTTACAAAAAACTGATGAGGGTATGTGAAAACGATGAACCAGTTAAATACTGACGAACTATGAAGACTTCAATTTTTTCTAGATACATCTCCAAAAAATCCATTACCATTACGACTTGATGAGAGAAAAGACTGTGAATTTGCTCTTCCATTTCATTATGATAATGGTGCTAGTACATCGGCAAATATTGGTAAGTCAAACGAAATGTGTTTTGGACAAGAAAAAAACTGTAAGATTTCAGTAAATGCTTCCGAGATTGATTGTTCAATATTTTGAATTTATTGTTATAGATGTAGATGATGATGAATCACTTTTAAAACAAGTATTAGCCATATCTCAATTTGAATATATTGAAGAATTGAAAAAATCAAATCAAGCAACTCATTCAGAAGAGATAAATACTACTACAACGGTAACAGTGAATAATGAAGATCAGATAGCAATTGATAATAATTTTGACAAAAAATTGTAATAATTTAAAAAATCCGTTTGTTTTCCTGTTAATTTATCGGTAACTACTTGCCTATTTTTCGTTGTTTAACATTCTCATGCATACGCATGTAGTCCAAAGTTTGTTTATTTTCATTTTTTGTAGCTTTTATATCTCTCGCGCTCTTTTTCACATCATTACCATCAAAAAGATAATTGCGTACTCTTTTTTCCAATGTCAACAACAACTAAAAATCCTTTTTTCTTGCTGTGTACATAACTTTTTTTTAACGCTGAAAAACATGAGCAATGCACGCACATATAGATAAAAATATAAAACAACTGCTTATTTTTTGTTGATTATTTATATATATGTATTATCAAACAACGTTCAAATAAATAGTATGTGCGATAGAATTAAGTAAAGTCAAACAAAATATTGGGTAAATAAATTAGAAATTTCTAGTAGAAAAATATCTTCGAATATAGAAAGATTTTATAAGAAAGCACTAGTTTCTACCAGTCGATATTGGAAAAGCAATATGACATGAGGTTGTCAGACACATTTTCGACTGACTGAGACAAATAAAATTCATGAACGACTGATAATGTATGAGACTAGGTGATGAGTTATTGTTGCATAATAAATCTAAAGTGGGCTGTACTAAAAGATGTTAAAATAACAAACAAAAACATAAGTTATAAGAGTCTAGGAAGGATGGAAATATTATTCGGTGTATTCCTTTGTGAGCAGAACACTGAAAACGAACCTCGCTAGATAGTTTGTAATCTTTTCAGTCCGTCTGAGTTTACTGATAATGAGACAAACCAGTAAACAGTGTCTCAAAAACTCTAACAGACATAATCATTAGTAGGCAAGGTATCCTTCCACTTAAGAGCAGTTCATTATTCATATAGCTGAAACTAAATTAGGAATGTGTTTAATGTAGAATATGCCGGATAAAACAATTCTGATCACTCTTCTGTATTACCAGTTTTTTCCCTAATGCAATTGAGTAGTAGCAAATCTCCGCTGAAATATCGACCCAGCAAAAAGTGCCAAAATTGTAATAAAAGAAATTCTATACTGATACACTACCAACTGTATTCAGATATAATCCCAACTCTTGACTATTTATTGGGAAATAGTTGACACTAGATGGGCTATTTTTAAAAACGTTTGATGTAACATGAAGAGAATTGTACGAGGTTTATGAAAACTTGAACTTGTTCATGAGTTGATTATCGATTAAGGTTCTAATTTAATTTTTCTTTTAATTTTAATGACGAAAGACCATTAAAAAACAACACTATTCATATTCTCTACAGAAAACGATGAAAATACACTTTTTTATCCTGGTTTTACATATATGATAGAGCTCATAGTTCTAAACAATTGTGCCATTTAGCATGGTATCAAAATCAGTTTCTAAAAGACAGCAGAAGTTGCACAGCACATACAGAGTATATAGCAATTTATTTTCTTTGAAGTCCATTTCATTTCAATGTCACAAAGTTGAACTGTTATTAATTTGCTCATCTAAAGTGTGAAAATGTTTTTATCGGTAGAAGGTTTCTCGGATGTATTTCTTTAGGTTCTTCATCGGTGTATTTTTCAGTTCTGATTCGAACGTTACTGCCACTTGATCTCAGACTAGGAGTGAGAGAGACTGTCTTTATGTTTCATTTGTGGGTTTTGCCAATAAGGTAATGTTTGCCGTATGTGAAGAAAACATTCACGCTTGGACTTCTAGTGAATGTTTATCTGTAGATACTTGACACTCGGATCAGTTCATTGCTAGAGCCAATGTAGCGTCCTGTAATTGAGGTACTCTGGCTGTGCCGCTATCCTCTGTGCGTCAAACAAGATGGAAATGATCGTTGCTATTTTCTGAACGACTCAAACAGCAAAGCGATCTTACACCGAGGTCACTCGTAATTTGTGATAATTTAACCTTTGTGTGTATTTCTCTCACTGTTGTGCATTTTCATTCTGAGATCTCGGCGCAGTTAACATACTTAACTGAAGTTTTGTTAGTTTTGACAGAGTGACATGTCTAATTAATATTGCATTCAGCAGAAAAAATAAGAAAATTAGTTTTCTCGTCTTTCGAAATTCCAAAGAGAAACTGCAGAGGTGACACAAATCTTTGTATTTTTCAAAGACATTAGATAGAAACTGCTTTCTTAATTTGATACAACTAATTGTTTTGTGCAACAACCACGTTTGTACTAGAATGTAATAAATACAAAATTGTGGTGAGAGAGTTGATTCAAGAATGCCGTGTGTTTTTGCTGTATGAGTTCAAATATTTTAGTAAAAGTCCCGCAAAAGATTTCGGTTATGGAAACTTTTTTATGCTGAAATCATTAATCTGATAACAAAAAAATCTAATTAAGCTTATTTCAACAAAAACATGATTTAGATCTCGAAATACTTCTGAGTGCATGAACTGACTAATTCTCCATGTAATTTATCACCCCATAAATTAACATCCCATAATAATAAATTATGACATGATCAATGAGATTTATTGCTGGAGTAATCTTTAATGGAGTAATCTGCAATATTTATGATTTATTAACCATTTACATTCATTCATTTCTTATTCAAATCACCGTCATAATTGATAGTTGCTATGAAGAGTGGTAGTTCATTCTATGTTGACCAGCTCGGTAATATACGTTTGGCTATGAAGAAATGCTCCTTAGAGTAGTTGGTTATTAGTTATTAGCTAACATCTAGCTGTGATTTATCTGTAGATAGGCTGTTGTATAATGCCGTATTTAACACAAGCCTTGAGATCTGCGGGTTTTCTACAAATTTTGTTATATAAAAATGCAGTGATACCTTGGTTATCGAATGACAAATACCACAACTCCCTAGCTATTGTCAGTCAAAAGTTATTTAAAAAATGGCTTTCGTAGACACTCAGTAATAAACCGCTTAGAAATCCAATATATCTAAAAATGGGTTAAAATGACTGCTAATTAGTAAGTTTTTGAGAAAACAAGTACAAGTGCTTGAAAATTTCTATCAAATGATATATTTCTTCACGATCTCCAAGAAATTGGTAACTTACAAATAAAAGTGTAAGGCACCAGAGTGATGCTGATTAGCATTAATTAGCACTTCTTAATTATAATCTAATACATTAAAAAAATTATTTGAAAAGTTTTTTAATGAAACTATAGCCATAGATCATTGGCTCTCAAACCACGCAAGAATGACGCTTCTGTAATTATTTTTGATCAAACTGCAAGCTTTCCAAAAGGCGAACTAGCAATTCAAGTTTTAATTGGAATCTAAACTTAATTAATTAATAACACTGTCAATACTTGACCAACTTTCGTTGTATTCCATAGGCATACCATTGGCGGTGCGCTCCACAAACTAGCCAAGTTTGAGGGGATGTTTAGGAGGACACTCCCTCTTTAAAAAAGACAGTTACTGTTTATCCAACTTTTATTAATAACAACAAACGACAGTGATGTACACAATATAAAAACCAACTATTAACCATATCTGCTTACATAAATTCGTCCGAATCGTTTCCATCATCCTAAAAAAGGTAATTTTGTTAATTTTTTCCTTTTTGACTTCTTCTTGCTTACTTTATTCGATCGCATTTTGTCACTAACCATCAATGATGTATAATTTCTACATAAAACAAAAACAAAAACATAGAAAACGTAGAAAAAAAATGTCATCTTGCTCTTACTTTAATTCTGCAGTTTCTTGACGACGTTTCTCATCTTCTTTCTCTTTTTGTTTTTGATCACGAATTAATTTCTTCTTCTCATCACGTTCTTGCTGATCACGTTGTTCACGTTCAGCCTTAAAAAATATGATTATAATTATGTCTGCTATTGAAAAGTAGTCAACGCAATATACACGTCACACTAGAGACATTTACTATAAAGTCTTCTGTGCTAATTTCTCTTTTCGTTTTATTTAGTCGATTAACAATTTCATTTTGTTTCTTTGTAATAGCATAATTTTTTACCTAAAGCAAAAATCAATCAATCTTCAAACTAGCAGTTATGACAATATTTTCATACGTCTTTCTCTCGATAAAATCCAACTTGTCCAACATCCATATCAGCTGTTTGACGTAAATTATCAACCGATGTGTAAACAATATCAACATTATTTATTTTACATCCTTCGATACTGTTTGCTTTTACCAATTGACAACAGTCTTCTAATGCAGCTTGTGGCAAATTATTTATGCTTTCACCCTATGTATAAACAAAATAAAACTTTCACAATTTTTTATATTTTTGTCGAATATTCTATTTATAAATATATTAGATTATATAGTAGTATGGATATTATGATAAATTGTGAAAAATGAATTACCAACACAAAAGTTCTTTTAGATATTCTTTTAAACTGGAGACACACGTACAGTTAACTGTATGCGATCGTTAACAAAACATGAAGTTTAAGGAATAAGTGTCATACTTTGTGAAGTCGAAGATAGACGTGTGCTGACGACAATTTGCTGACATGAAACCTATAAAGCATCATAAGACTTAAAGTAAAAACATTTAGATGAAAAAATGATATACATCTCTTGTTTATTATTTTATGTCTGCAAAAAACAGAAGAGATATATTTTAGAGCTTACAAAAAAATCGAACCATTTACCAAACATCTTCTGGCCAACAGTATTTGAGTAATTGATTATCTAAAAATTCAAACAGAAAGACTGTTTGAATACTGATATACACTTGATCTAATCAAAATTGTTTGAAATATAAGCGAAATTTATAAGGCGATGTTCTAAAAGTTTGCGCATTTTAACTACTCAAAGGTAAACATCAAAAAATGAATACAAGAAAATCTTACTTTCAAATTTATCTCGACCCATGTAAATCGTATATGGTGGTTCAACGGCTAAAGATATAAATAGAATATTGTGTCGCAAGTTAAATGACAGATTTATTTTATAAGAAAAGAGTCTATCACGGTTTATCACGTATATTCAACTATACATTCGTAGATGGCAGATGGAGACAACATTCTCAATTTATTTCGATTCTGTTGACGGAGTGACATTAACATGATGGAATCGTTTTTACTTAACATCCCTATTGTGCAACATATTTTAAAAATAGTAAAACTAAATTACCGTTGCTTGTGAAAAAAAAGACCATAATTTCGAATGTTCACAGATGATTTTAAAAATCTGAAGGTAAAGACAACTATTTGAAAGTATTATTCTTGACAGACTTGTTTATTACTTCACAATAAATGCAAACAAATATTTCACAAAACACGTGCAATGAGAGTCAAAAGCAACATACTATATGAATAGGACATCAACTGTCACGCTCTTCCCCATTTTGCCTTATTGGTAGATTGCGTCAGACAATTGAATTGAAAGTAGAACGAGGGCGCTAAATGATAGCGTTTAAAGTTTACAGTAAATGCTACTGATGGTTTAAAATAATAGTATATCTGTTGACAAATCTGTTTAAAATAGTTTTTAATATAGCTATAGTTTTTCAACAAAACCTATAGCTCAAAAACAAACGAGGCTACGTTTTGGGCTCGCTCTTCGATTATCATACTGAAAATAGCTATTCTGTTCAAACAATTTCACAATAGCGATTAGCCGATTTCAAGGAAGAAATAACGAGAAATTCTTTAGTGAAAACCCTCATCGAAATAAGGAGTCCTGCATGTATTTTTTCTCTATTTATATATAGATCTCCTTAAAAATATTCTTGCCGATAATATCTGAACCTTTATATGATTTTCGTTTTTCAGAATCAGCAATTGAATGAGTTTTCTCAGCACTATAAACTAGGTGATATGCAATGAGACATAGATTATTGTAGACTAGCAGCTATGTGATCATGAAGACGCTGAAAATCTTTTAAAAAATTCGTGTTGCTTATATATCATTTGAGAAAGTTAAGTAAAGGCCTTTAAGTCAGACATAGAAGTTAAGCATAAACTGTACACCCGGCATATATTTTACGTCGACCCTCTATTATGTCTACAGCTTAATATCTAAATTATGATTTCACCTAAAATCAAGTAGTTCTGCAGGAGTCTAACAACAACACGAGTCCGACAGGATCCGAGGGAACAATTTGCGTCGATCTCGATTTATGAAAAATAATTAAGAAAATTGAATTAAAAACAATTTTTCATCTTACTGTTGTGTATCGAGTGCTTGTTGGGAAATTTAAAATTATAATGTTTGTTATTCAATTATCCATGACAAATCGAGATAGAAGATTGCATCAAGATGTGGCGAAATATAAAAGAAAGGGTGAGATAGCATTCTGCGTTCTGAAAATCAGCAGTTAGAATACGTATCATGATATAAAGCAAATTCCAATGGATGTCTCCGTTCTCATCCTCAGAGATGGGCTAGTACGAGTAAATACTCGTACTCGTATTGGCGACTTTTTTTAAGGAATGCTCGAAAAAGTACTCGAGTACTCGATCGAAAGCCTTTATAATATACTATGGATTGCCGAGAAAACCGGTAGGTTCTGTTCTAAAATTGTAGTGTAATCCTATAAGAAAAATGCATGATGTAATCAATGATGTAATCAAAATATGAAAGTAACGAGACTGTCGGACGAAATAAACGAACTATTTGTCCTTATAAGAGAAAAAACAATATTAACTTTTACTTCATATATGCAGGGTTGTGCATAATCATTTGCTAGGGATACAGCTCCAACGACAAATAATATAAAAATGAATTATATATCAAATGAAAGCTCATCGAAAACGGGATTATCGAGTATAACTGGTAATCCATAGGTTGATTATAAGCTATAGAATTATGCACTGGCGGGCCGCCAGCATTGGGTGCAGGCAATTAGGGGGAATTGTCCTATATCATTTGTCGTTGGAGCTGTACCCCCTAGCAAAAGGTTGCGCACAACCCTGCACTTCATACATTTTTTCTCTTTATAAAAAACTTGTATTCGAGTACATATTCGAGTAAAATTTTCGTGTACTCGTACTCATACTCGCCACGAAATACTCGTACTCTGACTCGGACTCGAAAAAGTGTGTATTCGCCCATCTCTGCTCATTGTCAAATTTGAGTGTTTGATTGAATAAGAGTTGAAATCTATTAGTCAAATTCTTACCGAGAAACTTCTTTCACTGTTCTTAGTGCTTCGAGTATTGTAGCAATTAAATTTAAACTGGGAGACATTTATCAAAGCAAACAAAAAGCTGTGAAATTTTTGTTTTTAGAAATAAACAGTTGATTTTAGATGGCCTGTTTATGCTTTTCAACTTTTGACTTGATCCGTAGTATTTTACAGAAAAGATTTCTTTGAATGTTTAGTTTATTTACTGAAGTCCTTTCTTTTGTCCTTTCTTCTAATGGAACTGTGTATGCTGTACTGTTTTGGATTTTGGATCCGTGTTAGTTGTATTATCATTCAGTATCATGTTAAACTTGAGTTGTATCTCACTACGAAAAAAACGTTGTGAAAATGTTTTTGTGTTTATATAAAAAAAATAAAAACATGTGATTTCATATTTAGTCACTACAATATATAACATCAACAGTCGTTCTTCGAGGTACTTGTACAAAAACATTTTATTTTATTTGTTTTTGCAAATTCTGTGTGATAATGGATAACAAGAAAAATAATTTAAGAACGGTAATACTTATGAATTAATTATAGGACGAGTGACATGAAACATTTTGCTGCGATAAATACATGAAATCTGTGAAAGAGAAAGAGAGAGAATATTAGTGAGAATGAAAAAAAATAAAAATATCTTTCCACTAAAAATGTATTACAAAATAACATATGTATACAAAAATACATTATAAAACGCAAAACAAAAAACATTATCACACATGCGCAGAAAGAACGATAAAAGTTTTTCAATCAGATATTTGACATAGTAACGCAGATCCCATTGATATCCAATAATCTTGCGGTTTATCCGTAGGTAAATTCACAGTAACAACAAAATTCGTTGAGTGACCTGATAAAAAGAAAATAAAGTTTTGTAATAGTGTCAATTTGATGAATACAATAAAACTGGACATAAGTCACTAGTCTCAATTTTGTTGTATTTTCGATGCAAATCATATTGTCCTTTTCTACAAAACTGAATAAATTCATAATTTGCAGTACTTACCTGTCGTTGATAGAACGCCCGCTCTAGCTGCTGTTTTGTATAACGGTGATAAATAATGTGATGGATCAGTGACAAAATTTTGTTTGGGTTCCATGTGCAACATGGGCAGTGTTCCAACCATTTCACCACGTACAGCGTTAGTAATTTGTTTTGCTTGTGGATCCCATCGAAATGCCTCCATATATAGACCGTGTAACAGAACACCATCTTTTACAGTTGGAAGCTAAACGAAAAAGCATTTCAATTAAGCCAATTACAAAGTCATCTGAGACTAACATCACATACCTGTTCATCTTCGTCAAGTTTTTTACCATATTCTAGCTTTTTTGCATTTTCATTATACGATTCGTGATCACGTTCATATTGCAGTATCACAAAATTAAAACTCAATTCATCAATGGGTAAATCATATTTTCTTGCATGCACTTGCAAAACACCAGTCAAAAACCCTTGCGGAAAAAATAGACCGGGTAGCCAATAACTTTTTGGTAGGCCATGTGTAATCCATTGCTAAAATGTAAAAAGTAATTTATGTATCTTCGGTTGTTAGAGTAAGCTAAAACCAGCCATACCAATATAAAATCACAACGTAACAGCAAGTCTTTAATCCAAGAGGACAGTGATTTTAATGATGGATATGCGGCATCTGCCCAAGTACGTGGCACTTGATTATTTAAGAAAGCATTAAACATTTTTTCTAACGTGTCATCCATTACTACGAGACCCTTAATTGCTTTCATTTGATTTGTTAATGATGATTTGATGACATCTAATAAACGATTATATCGATCGACTTCTTGTTGCAGAACCTGTTTAAAAAGTTTATCCTTCGTAGTTGATGTTTCTAACGAATGGTCCAAAAATAACTGATCGCATTTGAAAGCTAAACTTTTCTAACTAACGCAGTTTTATTTTATAATCAAAAAATGCAGAATTTCATTCTCTACATAACTGTATATTTGATTTCGCAACGTTCTGCTTAAAGTAGCAGAATTCCTCAATTATCAAAAATTTTCAACTACTGAAAGAGTATATTGCACAATAAAAACGTTATGGGTTAAAACAAAATACGCGAATAAATTCGCCAGAAAATTATGCATTATTAACAGAAAAAACTCTTTTACTAAAAAAATGAATAAAAAAAGTTGATTATCCAAGAAATCGCAGAATCTGACCTTGGCCATCTTGAACAAGAACTTGATTAACGGTGTTCAAAACAAGTATCTTGACAAAACTTCTTTATCAAGATCTGTCCACGTTTTGTACAAGTTTCTTGAATTTCGTTATTTTGAATTAACGAAGATTAAAGAGATTTTAAGATTTTTAACCTCGAATAATAAGTTTTATTGCCCAACAAGAGCTCAAGAGTTCAATCCTCAGCTCTGGAATTTACTTTTTTTTCTTTTTTCTCACAATCTTTGTTCTGTTTTGAGCAGATCTGCTTGCAAAACCTGATCAGGATTTGATCAAATACGAACCTTGAAAGTTCTGTTGGGCATCTTGATCATGAAAAATTTTCAAAGATTCTTAGCAGCGGTCCAGAAATCTATCCAAGATCTTGACAGATTCGTCAACAACTTGGAAAAGGTTGAAAGATTCGATCAAGATTGATTTCCTGGGAGAGAATTAAATTCTGCACTTGTTGATTACAAAGTGGAAGTTTAGAACACTATGTTAGTTAAAGAAGTTTCAAACTGAATCAGTTATTTCTGTCATCCGTTATTTAACTTACAGTTGTTAATGAATTCAGACGATCTTTCGAATCTGGTTCAAACATGTATCTTGGCGCTTTTTCAATATCAAGTTTTGCAGGTAATTTCTTCAAAATCTCATCAGCTAATTCATAAACAATTTGATCATTTGATTTTCCCGTGCCGCCAGACGACACACGAGGTTGAACATCGATTATTGTATTTATTAAATAACTCGATTCTTGAGTCTGAAATTTAATATAGGTTTTCCTTAGTTAATGGTCTACTAACAAACTGATGAATTTTACTTGAAACGTAATATTGGCATTTTCATGCATGCCAAATATTTCCGGATTATCAATTATCGGTAATTGCTCAATGTAGTCTCGATATTGTGTGATAGATTGCTGTTCTGGGCAATAATAGATACCCGATGGTGAATATTTATAGTCAGGTGACAGTATATCTGGTGAAAAAAACCGACGTAAAATTGTTCGTAAACATCTTTGATCCCAAAAATCGGTAACTCGACCACCTTTCAAAAGAAAAATTATTCATTCATCTCCTAAAACATTTAAATGACTAATCTTCTTACCATATGTTATTTCGCCTAAAAGATACGAAAAAAAAAGGTCAATTTCATTCTCCTCCTTGAACATTTCGATAAGTAAACGTACCTGTAATATAAATTAGAGCATCCCACGGTATGTAACCATCTTTGCAAAACATTTGAAAATTTAGTAGAGCACATTCTCGATCACTCTAAATAAGAATAGTAGACATTCAATGTAGTATAATATTACATTTTCTCATCTACGTACATCATTAAATTCATAACGAATATTCCAACCGAGAGGTCCAAATTTTTTTCGTTCCAAAATGATAGCATGAAAGAAACAAATACCAAAAACAATCTTTTTCCAATCCATTTCCAATGCTAAAAGAGAAGAATGAACTCGTGTTATATGATAACAATATTTTTCATATGTCATATAACTTACCATGTGTTTCAAAAAATGTTGGTGTTATTCCCACAAAAGCACGTTTCAAATTTGCTCGTATTCCTAAAAAAACAGTCAAATTAAATTATGTATCAAATATTTAATGATAATAAAATTTAATTTTCGATTTATTTCCCTTTCAAATTTTTCATTTCATCAATAAAGTTGAATAAATTCTCTTTACCTTTTGGTGGTTCCGATGTGACTTTCACACTATTTTGTAAAACACTAACTGGAAATGTTTTTGCTGGCATTGAACTTAAAAATATTCGAAAATCTTCATGACATGGAGTAACACCTTCATTAATATTCTTCATTATTGTTTCCATAGAGATCATCCTAAAATATGAATTAAATATAATTTTAAAAGAAAAAAAGAAAAAATCATTTTTTGAACTTTTACCATGATGCAGCTAAATGACAATTTTGTAAAAATATCCATTCACCAGCTGTTACAGCTGCAGCAATTAATCGTTCAGCAATTGGACCTTGACCTTGACCAAGTGAAATCGTTTTAATACTTGAATATAAGAGAGAGATATATATATGATATGACTAATATTGATCATTAATATCAATGAACTTACTGATTAGTTTTTCCCATATCAGTGGCAAATCGTAGAAAACTACTCATTGGATCGGATCCAGTACTTAATATATACACGAGTGCAATACGATTTGACATATCTTGATATAATACGGGCAATTCTACAGATGGACTTTCAATAAATTTTTTTCCAAGTTTTGTTTCAACAAATATTGTGATCGCTTGTACAAGTGAATGTGGTGCAAATGATTTGATAAATATAAGTTTTTGAAAATCTGTTAATTTTTTATCATATTCAGATGTGCTGACATTTAAATCTTTTGGATTTAACGCCACTTTTACATCGGGACTTATTTCAACAGATATTGGACGAGTTTCCAAATCATTTGGTAAACTTTTAAACGGTTCAAAATATTCACCTAATGTTATGATTTGATTCCACATGTCCACAGTTACCCAGTCTACATTTGGTTTGGGAGGACGTTTCTATAAAACAGAAAACAATTGAATAAAATCGACAGATACATTTTTTTAATTAAGCTGAAGTTTCAAAATTGTATACCTTTTCTCCACCGACACCACCACGCAAAAGATAATTCCATTCTATTTCGTTAATAACTCCATCCAATTTAAGTATTTCTGTACATAACAGAAAACTAAACACAAGTTTGTCTTTCTCAAACAGACCTCTAAAATGTTGGAAAAACAGAATTTTTTAGCAAATAATTTTCTTAAAGGACATTTATTCAAGCGTGATGTTGTTTATTGTTCCATAGAACAACTGCATTGTCTTCATGACTCCGAGAATTAGTATTACCTTGATACATTTGTGTACATAGCTTCTGTTGTTGATTCTAACAGGATGTCTAATCGTTTATCTAAATCGTCTGATTTTTGACTATTTTCAATTGTTGAATTAAACAATTGCGTAAAATAACGTAATGAAAATTGATACATGGGATCAATGAGACCAAGATCAGCGACAACAAAATAGAGTAACGATCCACGTTTAGCTATTTTACGATATTTTTCTCTCGCTACTGATATATTCGCTTCAGTTTTTATTGTTTCCTCAAGACGTCGTTTGATTGCTGATGATGTTACCTAAAGAGAGAATTTTGCACATTATCAAATAATATTCTTGTTAGTCATTTATGTTAACTAATCAAATTAACCTCTACGTGCTAACTCATTCTCTCTATATCACATTTCAGTGGGTAAATGCGATTAAAAAATTTAAAAAAAAATAGACAATTGCATCATATTCTTAATCATACTTTTGAATCATTTAACGAATTGACAAGTTCTTCATTATCTAAAATGTTTCCTTCCGATTCAAATAACATTTTTAAGATTTTATCTTCGATTGCTTTCAGTTGATTTCGATCGTTATTCATTGTGACAATTAATCTATTCATTTCTTCATCTAAATCTGGTCGTTCAAGACGAACAACATCACTAAAAAGAACAAAAAAGAATTCAATATAACCCTTAAACTCTTTGTCCAAAAATAACCCATTAAATACCTAAGAATTTGATCTTCCAAACCTTGTTTAGTGACACTAAAATTAATTATTGTTACTTTAATACATATTTCTGGTAGATAATGTGGATTTGCGAGTTTGGTTGTCATATAAAATTTAAAATTTTGATCATATTCAATATCACTATCACCCAAACGAATTAAAAGACGACCACCCTATTCGAACAAAATATTATACTTTTGTTTGTGTAAACTGTACTTTTGTTTCAGTCTTACTCACCGACATAAATGTTTGTTTAAGTAAAATTGGTTCTAATGCTGGATCTAAAGAAGTAAAAAAAAATAAATAAATGATCAGTAATCGTTACTTTCTGATCAACCTAAATAATAATCATATATACCTAATGTTTCTCCAATATCTTCTAATAATAATGGCATTCCAATACGGACACAATTTTCCAAGATTCGTAGAAAATGTCCATCAGTCATCTTAATTATTTTAAGTGCATTTTCTTTTTCTTTATTTTTTATCCATCGATTAGCCTATAGATAGAAATAAGAGACACTTAGTATACTCAGAAACAATCACACTATTGCTACAAAGTCAGCAAAAAATGGCATCGTAGACGGACCAGATCGTTTTTACGCAGTATATTACAAAATATTAATTTTAGTGAGTTGCGCCAGAAATATTATATATTATTTTTAGTTCTCGGTACTAGCCCTAGAAGCATGACGCTATTTTTAATATTGATCCCAAGACTAAGGGCTACTTCCTATAATTATGCTTCGACGACTTATATATTAGAGTAGAAGAATTAATAGCAACAGTAAAAAAAGAAAAGGTGAACTTGTGATTAAAACGACAAAAAAAGAAGCCCGTTTACAGCCTCCATTTATTAAACATCAATTAACAGAGAAGAAATGGTGCATTAATGGTAATAAAAATAAATATGGAGAATTTCTACCGTTAATTGATAGTTAAAATACAGCTGAAGAACAGTTGACTATAATAGACTGTTCTTAGCACGTTTTGGAGAGTTAAAGGGCTGTTTCGATTAAACTATATGTTATAAGTGTTTACCTGTTCTTGTGGATCGATTATCAGTGGCCATCGTCGACCTTTTGTCACTAATATAGCATTTTCTGTACTAAAATCATCTCGTGGCAAACCTTGCGTCACCCATTGTCTAATTGAAAATGGATCAGCCAAAACGTTGACAATTGCTAGATTATCCAACACAGGAATTTTATGCGTTTTGCACCCTTCCACCCATTGATCAACAAGCTAAAACAATAAAAATTCTACATTTTCTCATATGAAATTGTCAATGAAACACCTTACCTCGACTCGATATTGCGAAGGAAATGCACCTAGATTAAAAGAAATTTTTAGTATTTGAACAAGGTTGATTAGTGAGATATTTCATGTTACCATAATAAGCAACACATGCGGATGATACGAATACATTTCCAGTTACTGTTTTCATTTGTTCATTAAATTCATTAATATTCTCTTTCCATCGAATTTGTTCCTCAGCCAAAGCTACGGAGAAAAAAGTGTTTAAAAAGTATAATTTTGTCTAATAGTCATTTATTTCGAACCTGTTGTTAATTTTGATGCACGTTTTAAACGACTTTGTGTTTGCATTATTGAAATTTCCAATTTTTTCTTTTCTGCTACTTGATGATCATACGATTCTTGTAACTCTTTGATTTTTGCTTCAACCTAAACACGGACTGTATCTGTTGAATGTGAAACAGAGATGCAAATAACAACAAGAAATCGATCGTCTGAACTGATAGTCGCGCTATATTTTTCTATAATTATATGCTTAACTAACCGATTGTAATTGTTGTTGTTTTTTCTTCAATTGATCCATAACTTCTTTTAAATCTTTTTCAGCTTGAGCTACTCGTTTACGTTTCGGTTCAACTTCCTTGCTAACTTTAGCATAAAGATCAATGGCTATAACCCATTCAACTAAATTTCCACAGGCCGTTGATGCTTTTTTAATCGCATCAATATTAAATTCTGGTTTTTCAAGATACGGTTTGAGATCCTAAAGTTGAAATCAAGCGTATAAACAAATGATAAATAGATAACTAAAGTACACAAGGATTTACTCTCTTACTCTTAAAACTTCTGGCGGTATTGAATCTTTTTGATACTCTTTTATGCTTGGAAGAAAACCCATATCACCTAAAAGTGCTTTGGCTGATGGCCAGTCCTAAAATTTTTTTCATTCTGTAGTGATTTTCAAAATTTCATTCATTGTCATATACGCACCGGTTTTTTTCGAAAAAGTATGCACACAGCTTCCATGCCCAACTTGACTAAAGCGGGCGGTGTTTGAAATGTTCGTCTAAAGTCATTTGCAGAATATTGAATACAAAATGCTATAAATTGTGATTATGACATTTTTTACTTACAATTCGGTAATAGCTTCTTTACTCAGTCTTGAAATTGCTTAAGAAGAAAAAAAGGATAATAATAAATGTAAATAAGAAAAAATGAATATTCAATCATTACCTTCATTTGCTTTTTCCACTGCAGGTAAAGCAAGATTAAGATCACGTTGTGCCTTAAATCAAAACAATTGAAAATCTTTACAGACTTGGATTAATCATATTTTACACTCACATCATCTTTCATTGCTTGGGTTTCTTCAGCTTTGACTCGAGCAACAGCTTCATCTTCCATGACCACACGTCGTACCTAACGACAAGCAAGTGTTCAGAAAAAGAAAATTAACATTTGTGTTCTATAGACTAACTTCATCTGCTTTTTCTTGATCAACCGCCAACGTTTCCATAAGTTTTGCTGTTTCATCTGATTTTTTCTTTAATTGTGGTTCCAAAGCGACCAATTCAGCTTGCATTTCATCGACAAGAACATTCGTTTCAAGTAACTTTTTGAGACCTCGTTCAACACGAGCTTTGGCATTCTCAATTTGTCTAAAACGAATGAAGTTAACATGATTATGATTATCACTTCTATTAATAGAACATACTTTTTTTTATCATTTAACATTGACAAGTAAAGATTAATCAGCTCCAAGTACGATGTTGGAGTCGTATAATAATGTCGTCTTAATTCCGTTAATAATTGTTTAGCTTTCACTGTTACACTCATGTGAATTTCAACACACATCTGAGCCAATGCATCAATCATAAATTCTTCGCCTTTGGCCCAATTATATTTTTCAAATGAAGTACGAGCAACAGACAAAAGAGCTTCGCGGGGCCACGTTGTAAACCAGTCGATTGTACAACAATTGACTAAACTTGGAAACATTCGACATCGTGTACGAAATGAATCGCCTACGGGACTCATACAAATAACCATGTGTAAATTATTTCGAACACGATTAATAAAAAATGTATAAATTGCTTCACGATCATTTTCAGCAATACCAGCTTCTTTCGCTCCTGGTCGACAACCAATAATCATTCGTTCATATTCATCTTGTTTATCGAATAAGTTTGGTACTTCACCTAAATATTTAAATTACTCTGAACATAAATAATCAACTGTTATTTTCTCATCCTCTCTCTCACCTGAGTTTAAAATGTTGTTAATATCTTCCAGAAATTCTTCGACAACAATTTGTGTGTCAGTAAACAGAAACACTGTATTTTCATTTCTTGGTCCAGCTTGGTCATACAATTTTTTCAGATCTTCATGAAACGCATCATAATTATAACCACGTGATAATTCAATTTGAAAACATTTATAACCGCACATATGTGATGCTAAACGTGTCAAAGATTGTTTTCCTGTTCCACCAACACCCACCAACAATGCATTACCACGATCTTGTCGGATTATACGAGCTATTCTTGCAATATGCTCAATAGCATCGAGAAAAAAGACTAATTTTGAATTTTTATTATATTGTAGATTATAATCTTCTTGATAATCTTGCAAAATATTTCTTAACTTCTGATAGTCAGTAATCTCCTCATACAAACGTTCATTTCTTGGTGCGCCTACTTTCATGAAATCACCCATAATAATCGGCTTTGTAACAAAATGAGTCGGTTCAATTTGCATGGAAAATAAACGTGTGGCTAATTCAGATAACATTGTATGAAAATATTGTTTATCTTCATCGTTAATCAAACGATCGTGAAATACACGTAATGATTCATGAAAAAATACACGAACTAAACTATCACGATCCGATATACTTTCAGGTTTAACCTAAAAAGTAAGAAATGACATATGAAAAGATTTTTGGTAAGTATTTGTGCTATTTACCTGTAAAACTCCTTGAATACATTTTGATAAATCTCTTAAATTGAATACGTAGTGAGACTTTGTCGGTGTTGGTAATAATTCAGCACTCATTCTCAAATAAATTTCCACAGCTGCATCCACAATTCCATCACCAACAGATTTCACATTTTGATTAAAATCGACTAAATATCCATTTAAGATTGATTTGAATATGTGCTTTAAACTATACTCCGATGGAGCTGGTATAGCAAATAATGCAAAATGGCGTAATAATCGAGGTGTTGTGGCATTTCTACCTCCTCCGGGTGGACCACAAGCTGCACATAAAATCACATCGTGGATATCAACCCATTTCAATGTTTCACGATCATATAGACCGCCAAAATCTTGATATTGACGTAACAGTTCAATTGGTGCTTGTGCACCGTACGTTTCCAATTTAGGCATATTTAAATCATCAATAAATATCACCATTCGTTTTCCTCTCGGTGCACCTAAAGCATTCTTCTTTCGTTTTTCCAACTTTGGCACGATCATTTCTTGCGTTCGTTTACTACTCGTTTGAGCAGAAAAATTCAAAAATAATGGGAACAAATTTTGTTCATCGGCTAATTTTAACAGTTGTGCTCGTGCAATTACCGTTTTTCCCACACCCGTATCACCCGTGAATAACACCGATTTATTAACTGAAACTAATTTTTCTAATAAATAACCGAACCGACACGAGTCAATATTCGGTACTAATAAATCAAAAAATGGTTTATTTTTGTCATATTTAAATGCCGGTACACTTTTTTCCCATGTTTCCATACGTCGATGATGTACATCAATTTCATATGAATATAAATCACCACCAGAACCTAATTTAGCATCAGCATCTTCTTCAAATTGTGAGCGAACAAACGTATCAAATTGATCCCAATCTTTTGAATTCACATTACCACCCACGCTCCATACATAACAAAAGACAAATGTTGTGGCTAACATGATTTTCATTTTAGCTTCTTCTAATTTTAAATCAACTTTTGCATCTGATGTCAATAGAGCATCAATTAGACAACATAATGTCACCACTTTAGCAATGTCAACCTGAACAACAAATTTAGATTGTAAGTTTAATAGAATAAAGAAAAAAAACTAAGCGTACCTGTTTAATAATTTCTTTACAATTTTTTCGCACAAACGCGAGACCCTGATCAACGTGTGCATTGAATAAATCCATTAAATATTCAGTATATATTCCACCGAATTTATCCTCAAATTTTTTACTCCATGTTTTAACATATGGCATCCATTTGATATCATTTGAATCAATATAAACCATACCACATCTGCTTACAGTGGCTGGAGAGGCCGTAGATAAATCCTGAACTTCAAATACCATATGCATGTATGGTGTGTATTTTATACGTTCACTGTTAGCTAAACATAACCTTAAGAAAAAAAAGCCGACAAAAAATGATGAACTTCTCAAATCCTATGATTTATAATTTTTCAAATTTAAATTATGCATGATGTTTAATAACTGATATACATACATTTTATTATCATCCAATACTGTGTTTAAATTTTCAATCCAAACAGCATCAACAGGACCATCACAAATTATCCAGTGATGATCTTTACTCTGATCCTAGAATAATTTCTATTTTGTTATTCTCTGAGCTCATTATTTCATTGAATCCCACTTACTTGCACACACTGTCTCACACTCATTCCCATTAATCCATCTTTCCATTCCATGGTAGTTTTATTGAATTCACCATATAGCTCACCAGCTGTAATGGATTTTGGATTTAACACATATGTGTGTACTGGTTGATAAAAATGATAATCAATATTTTTTGCATGTAAATCCGTTAATGTGTCAGCTAATATTCTATAAACAGTGGTTTTTCCTCCCATAGTAGGACCAACTATAATAAACAAAAAATACGCTCTGATTAATAGTATTAGTCAAGATATACGTTATTACCTAACATCACACCGTGTCGAATTAACATTGTCTCATAAAATTGTATGACTTTTCCTATCTGTGATTCTTCTGTTTGTAAACCTCGTTTCAATTGGATCTCAATAATTGTACTACGTAATTCACCATAGTCATGTTCGGGTAAAACTACATTTGGAAATAAATCTTGAACAATTGCTTTAAATAATATGGCATCATCGGTTAAAAATTTTGGCAAATTACTATCACGTAATGCTCGAATTAACACAAGATCTTCAACGACCGTTGGACTTTCACGTTTTAGTACACCAGCCATAACCAATACTGATTTTACAGCACGCATACCAAAATCATAATGATCTTGTTGTGATAATTGTTCCGAACATAATTTATACATTTGAACCATTTTACGTGCTAAAACTTTTGAATTTTCAAAACCTTCTGAATACAAAATGACTTCGGCAATGAGACGATAATCGGGTACCATCATGGATATTGGACGGAAGAGTGCTTTTAAATTATCGGGTAATTCAGTACGACCAGCATAACCAGGATTCATAGTGATAAAAACAGCACATGTAGGAACCAGGCGAATTTCACGGCCTTCAAACATGAATGTGGATAACTACGAGACATAAAAACAGCACGTACAGCATTACGACGAACAATAGTAAGATATGAATACTAACTTTAGCTGCTTTAGCATTTCTTATGGTAATCAGTTGTTGTGCGATAACACTCAATACTTCAATATCAATTCGATTGAATTCATCAAAACAGCACCAAGCACCTATTACGAAAAAGTGACATAGAAGAATACTATAATAATACTCTCAATGAACTACAATTCTCCCTCAACTAGTATTCTTTTAGTTAGAAACGAGAGTTGAAGATCTTCTGCTATAAATGTTTTTAATTTTTAAAACTTACCAGACTGTGCAAGCCCGCTAAAGAATCGACCCATCATCTAAGCATAAATATACTTAGTTTAATATTCAAACGAGATTATATGACATTTATCCGTTTTACCTTGTAATCTACTTGATCAGAACAATTAAACACAACACATTGTTTGGCTAAAGCTTTGGCCAAATCTTTTGTTGTTTCAGTTTTGCCTAACAAGCAGAAATAAAATAATTAACCTATAGTTCTGAAAAACAAAAGGAAATCTCATACCAGTGCCGGCAGGACCTAGAAATGAAGATATAATAAAACTATTAGAACCTAAATTGAAAGCTAGAAGAGCTCATTATTCACCTGCTGGAGCACCACCTAAGTCCAGTTGTAAAGCACCCATTAAACACAAATAACAACGATCCTATATAATACATTATTTATAAATAGTTCGTCTATAACATGAAAACATCAAACGTACTGTTAATGGTGTAATAACTAATCGATCAGACGCTCCAAGATATTCATAACCATAGATGTATTGTGCATTTGCCATACGAACAACAGTTAAATCTTGTTCAAAATAATATCGTAATTGTTTTAACCATTCAAAACTATTTATGTTAGCATCCTAAATTTACACATATTATAATTTTTTGTGAAAACAAAGAAATGTTGTTGTTTTTTAGTTTAATTACCGTAGTTTTAACCATTTCTGATACAATATCACGGGCATGTACATCGATTGTGATTAATGCACGACAGACATCTCGTACAAGCTAAGCATAAAATAAGAGAATCAAACTTTGTTAGATAATAATTTAAGACAATTTATACTTGTGGTAATTCTTGTCGAACGAGTGCTGCTAATTTATTCAGATCCTGATAACTTTTTGTTTCAAATTCAGTTAATTTGAGATGTCGAACAGAGTCATCACTCATCAATATCTGTGTTAGAGTAACACACCAGAATGTTTGTGATACAGTTAAAACACTTTGATGTGCATTTCGTAATAGCCATTCTTCTCTTACACTTCGTTCATAATCATCTTTTGCTCGCTTTATACACGTTCTTACAGCTGTTATCATATTTTTTTCTACTTGTTTTAACCAATCTTCAACATTTCCTGTTGCTTTTACTTTGAGAAGTTCCACTCGTTCACCCTCAGGTGAAAGCATAGCTCTAATTTCTGGAGCCATGGTGATTGTCATTTCCATATCTTCACCACCTTTTGATGTAAATTCAAGACGATTAATACCTTCGAAACATTTTCGTAAATGTGGTTGTACAGCCAATGGATTACGAGTTTGAGATAAGATTTCCAATAATTCCTCATCAGATAAGAAGTAAAATCTATAATAATGAGAGAAAAATAATTCTTTCGTTCGCTTATAATACGGATGGTTTAAAAATACCGTGGAAAACTGGATCGTTTCGTTTCCAAATAAGAAGCAAGAGAATGTTGAATTTGATCAAGAAGTGCATTGTTTGTTTGAAATAATTCCAAATATCCTAGTTAAATAAATAAATATTATTTAGACAGTCAATATTATCGATATGAGATGAATTGAATATTTACCTGGTTGTGTTCCAGCTTTAATTGCTAATGGAATTTTATTTGTTTTACGCATAACATCTTTGAATGTTTTATCAACTTGATTAAACATTTTTGCTTCAGCCGGCAATTGTCGTTGTATATCAGGTGCACCAAAAATACTTTCCAGATATTGCCATGTTTTTTGACATTTTTGCCATTGATCCTAAACGAACAAAAATGAATACTTTTCGTATCAAAATTTAATGGAAACATATCGATGACTAACCAATGTTTTACTAAATAAATCCAAATTTGCTTGCCAATCTTCTACTTTATTTTTAATTGGTCCAACGTGTCTTGAACTAGCAATTGTAGCAATGTTAATATTACTATCATCTAATAATTGCATTATTTCATCTGTTCCACCGAGTATGTAAACATCTTTATAATCTTTGTATTGTATAACAGGAAATTCAACAGCTTTCCAAGAATCTTCGACCTAAAATAAAATAAAATAAGTCACAAAATATTCCTTAATATTAATTAAATTCATATGGAATATTTTATCGTATAAAAAAGAAGAAAACTCACTTTCTTAAGAATTCCTTCAAGACTGGCTTCTGAACTTGCTTGACCCGATATTTCCTGTATTCTTTCTTCATGTTGAAAGGCATTAATCTCTATTAATTTTCCTAACGTTAATGGATCTTCGGCTGTTGGATGAAATTTAATTAAATCTTCAATTACATCCCAATGTCGTCGTTTCAAATTAGGATTACGTAAATTTATTATGGTAGGTAGCTAAAACAATTATCATTATTAAATCTTTTTTAGTACAATGAGAAATATTTGTCATCTCACTTTTGATCTCAACGCTTCGACTAAAAAAAAAAAGAATTAAAATTTTTTTGTAAGTAAATCAATCGTAGATGAGAAAATGATTTTTATAACATGAGATAATTTTCGCAGTGGTAAATTTAGAATAGGGAGGATGTAACAGTATCTTCTTTTAAGAAATTTTTCAGCTCATATTTGTCTTTCAGCGGCCTAAACATATCCTCATGAGAGAACTTCTAATTGTTCGATAGATGTCATTCAAATCTTTTGATAACTGAATATATATAATTTTTAGATAATTGAGTAGTCAGTCACTCTGTTTAGATATTTAATCGGTAGTTTTTACTAATATTAGTATCCTGCAGAGACTTATTCAATATTCAAATATCTTGAATTCAGTACATTCACTAGAGTCCTTTTGCCCGTATTTTTGGCTGTAATGTTACTTATGGTACTCCGAGCACTTAAAATGATTTGACAAGAACATATTGCTCACAATCAAATAGACGTTCTTTCATATCGACGTATGAGAGCTTGTTTACAAAAAAGATTTTCAGACTCGATCCATGATGCTATCTAACATTATTTGACACTCTGTTAGTTTCTTGTTTAACTCGAGTCATTAATCGAGTTATGGAAAAAAATTTCTTGCATATTTTTTAATCAAAAAATTCCATTAAAAAACAATAATTTTAACATACAAAACATACCCTTCTTTTCTTTTAATATTGGTACTAATTGATTTGGTGGTAAACCACGTTCTAATTGATAAACATTTTTACCATATTTGTTCACGGTTTGTGCTACTTGTTCATGATCTAATTTATTAAAGTCCGCTCCTTTTATTTCCTCTAACATTGTATCCCATTCTTGTAATGAATTCCATAATAATTCTTTCAATTTTAATTCACCATAAACTTCTTCTAATTCTTCGAATTTTGTTACTTCAACTTTAAAATTTTTTTGATATAAACGATATGTATGAGATGTACGTTGTTGAATTTCAATTTTTTTAATATATTCATCAAGTAATAATTTTACTTTATCTTTATCAGCATATGGATCTAACAACAATGGATTCTAAAAACGATGATGAACATAATACATCAATTATGATCAAAAAATCAATTGAATTCGAAATATACCTGAGAATCTTGTTTTATTTGTCGAACTTCTTGTGTTAACATTTCAATATCTTTATCGAGTAATGTAACAAATCTATTTACATATGCATCTCGTTCGGTCAATGCTTTATCCATTGCATTTCGACAACTATTCAATGTTGTTGTTAATGAACTGTATGAGACAATGTCTTCTGGTGGACACGGTACTTTATATTGTTCAATTAATTCATACATCATACGAACAATTTCTGCTTCTTGTTCTAATGGTTCAATACGTTCTTGAATTTCATCCAAAAATGTTAAAGAATCAACATAGTCTAAAGTGGATTCTGGTTTTGTTTCTAATTTAACTGTGGCATCTTGAGCTTCAGCTTTCAATGAATCTGTTTTAGCTTTAGCTATTTTCGGTAATATTTCATTGATTACATCCAGAATTCTAGAACAAATACAATGTTATAATAATTATTGAGCATTTTTTTTTTGTATTTTACCGTCTTGGTGATGGTTCTAATTTTGTTTTTGCATCTGTTGCATCAATCATTAATAATCCAAGTGGTTTTTTAGGATCAATCAATTGAGCCATCTGTTCTTCTCGTGTATATTTTGCCAAGGATGTAGCAAAAAATTCAATATCTAAAAATAATAACATCAAATTAAATAAAATATTATAAATATAATATTTTTTGAATAATATAATTACCATGTTGTTCAACTTTCAATTTTTCAACATTTGTATTTTCATTTTCAGCATAAAATTGATGAAATTCACTAAATGTATCAGCATATAATTTCGCAGCATTGAAACCAGCTTCAAGTGAATCATTACAATCTTTAATTAGATCTTGAAAATGATAATCAGCATTGAACATTTGTCGTAAATCAGGACCATCACCTATAAAATAATAAAAAAATTAATTTTTTCTATTTAAAATTTAAAATTTTTTATATTTACTTACCACACGTTTTTTCTTCAAATTTTTCATTAATATATGGTCTTGTGAATGTATCAAATGCATCATCTGGTAACAAATTGTCTAATGATAATAATGTGTCTTGAAAACTATGTATAACATGACCAATTCCGCTTTGAAAAGTAGCAACATCTGGTAAATAATGTAAACCATCTAAATGTAATTTCATTTCTGTTACAAATAGTGGAATATGTTTGGTAACTTCTTCATCCTAAGTATAAATAAATAAAATAATCAAAGAATAATTAATTTTTTTCGAAAATCTTTCTTGTCTTACTATGGCACTCGGTAGTCCTGGAACAGGCGCTCGTTGTTCTGTTGTTGGCACTGATTGTTGTGGCTGTTGTTGTTCTTCACCTTCACCTACTGGTTTATCGACTTTTCGTCTAATATCCTCAACATATCCAATTATTTCGTCTTTTGATGGTGTCGATTCCAATTGTTCGAGAAAATGATTTTTTAGACTTTGTACAGAATTGACAGCCAAAACATGAAAGGTATTCACAATTAGATAATCACATAATCGTATAAAACTAAAATATTTCAATATAAAAACTACTCATGACATTAATAAATAAATCATACTTTGTCAAACGTCTACAATGTGCTCGTTTATTCGCTTGTTCAGCATATGTGGCTTTATCGGGAGGTTGAGCTAATATTTCGATATCGATATTATTTTGTAATTGATAACCATTATTAATATCTTTAAAAAAAGATTATAATTTAGTCCAGATTATCAAATTACATTTCACTTACCATTATTTGGATCACTAGTATGAAGAAAATCATCGGGAACAAAACCAGCTTCAAATAATCGTGTACGACACGCACTAGCAACAACGTCTTTAACAAGATCACGAAATTCTTGTAAGCGTGTGGCTACTTGTCCCAATGTTTGATTTTGATTTTCATTAAATTCATTTAATGTATAAGTATATCTTCGTTCAATTTTACATAAACTCATATCACTAATACGAAAACACATTTCTCGAATATTCAACAATGCTGGTCGCAATGCCTAGATAAATAGAGAATAACGAATATTAGTCTGTCTAATCTTATACTATTTTCAATGGTATAATAATTCAAACATAATTCTGTTCAATTCTGTTCTACTAAATCATCGTCTTTTCTCTAATGTATAGATTACAAACCTCTTGTAGAAGAAATAAATTATCGACCAATGCTTTTGACGCTTGTGTCACTTTTTTCTTTCTCATATTTTTGTACCAGACATGAAATGCTTTCCACATTCGAAATGTTGAAAATACTTTGATCTTTAAAAAAGAATGAAGAAAAAAAAGATCAATGTTATATTCAACTCATTATTTCCTATTTCATATTTCATTTACTCTAATTAGTCTTGTAAAACGATGATATTCTTTAGCAAATTGTTCTATTGGTGTAAACTCAACTTCTTCGCCAGGACGATAATAACTCACACCAGCATTACTAATCGTTAGATATTCTCTTCCACATTGTTCATAATTCACTACTCTAAAAACAAATAACCGATGTACTAGGTATTTGAAATCACAGGTAAAATTCTCATTTACTTCAAATTATAATAATTATGTTTTGTATCATGTCGATTATAGGCATGTGATAAATATAGGAAGAAGCCATCTGGAGCACTATGAATAGATTCGATTACTTTCTGCATATCTGTTTCACCAAGCAACATCTCTAAAAATAGATATATGAATAGACTTCTTTGATTATTCCTATTGCACATTTCAAACCTCTAGAATCAAGTTGAGGTTTTTTGCTTGTTGATGGACTGTAACCTCCAGGAAATTCACTTGATCTCATTTTTTCCGCTGTTCGTTCGTCAATCTAACAAAAAACATAAATTAACAGATTTCTTTTATATTTTAGCTTAAATAATACTGGCTTACAACTGGAAGTGCAAGTTTTGCCCGTTTTTCTGGTGGTCCCGGTGACGATACTCGAAGTTTATTTGCATCGATTAATGTCTGACGATTTCTTGATTGAATTTCTCTTGGATCATTCCATTTCTGAAATCGTTTTAATGCTGGCTAAAAAACATGGCATCATTAGATTAATAATTTTACAGATAACGAGAACAAGTTCTTTTTACTAATGGTTCAAATTGAATTTCATTTTGACTCGCTTTGTTTGAATGTGCTCGTAGTCGTCCACCACCAGTAATAGGAGTGATAGAGTTTTCTGATTTTAATGGATGTGAGATTAAACGACACATCAAACGCTGTTGATCAATTTGTCCAAAGCGAGATGAGCGAGCGGGTGCTGTTTCACCGTCAGCCATCTAAAATGTTTTCAATGTGTATTTATTCATCTTATTTGCGCAAACAACAATGTTTTAAACAGTAAGCTAGCCAAAGTTAAATTATTTTGTCAGAAGTGAAATGCGGAGATAAAATGGTCATTGCAAACAATTTTTTCTTTCTTCTACTCTACTTTGTAAAATTCGAGAACGTTTATAGGTGTATCCTAAAAATTCACATTTGTACGAAATATTACGAATTGTCTTCTATATTCTTCATGCTTTTTATTTGTCTCATGGATACTGTTGTCGGCATAGAATTGCCTCCACATAGGTACACGCTATTGGTTAATGCTGAATGATCGTCTGATTATGCGCGACATCTTTAACATACTAATGGTCTTCTGTAGTGATCATAGGAATCATATTTAAGGATCTTTATCGTAGAAGACTTGGTTGATCTTTGAAAGAATTGGATATCATCGCTTTTGTGAAATTCCCTCTAAGACTTTGAAGAAGACGGAGTTTTAGTTATATACTCAAAAACCGGTGTTATCATGAAGTTTTTGGACCCTACTTAAAATCTGATATCACTTTCGGTCACAACCTCTTAAACTGGCAGTCACAACCACTTAGGTCGGTCACAGCCTCGTACGTACCTGTCTGATATCGACTAATATCAGGGGATTGTTTTTTAGGCGGTCACAACCTTTTAAATGGTCGGGCACAACCTGTTACGAGGATGGTTACAACGTCTTAAGAGGACGGCTATATTTTTGCAACCATTTTTTCTAAGATCAGTTTTTACGTTACAAAGTTTTTCAGTATTTTTGCATCGAGTGGTATTTTATCCTCCACTGATTTTTTAAAAATATAATAGACGATCCAACTATCACGAGTGTCACACGAACAATGTATTACTTGATCAACAGTGTCATAAGACATATAATTGAACGCCGTCAATTTAAAAAATGTTTACATATGAAATACGGATGAATAAGTTTCATTTTTAGTTTCCCGAAATAAAACACAGTAGTAACAAATCGTTTCTAAGCAAATTTCTCGCTCATTTTTATTGATCTATCTTGATCAGTATAGGAAATTTCACCCTTTGGTACCGAACGTACTACCCTGACAAGGTCTTTTATTCTACTTTGCGCTAAAAAAACTTTCAGAAAAATATCAATATAATAATCAGAGTGCCCAAATCTCATGATTTGACCAGGAGACTCCTGATTTTTAGACTCGTCTCCTGATGAAAATTCTCCTGATTTCAGGAGCTGATTTTTAAGATTTTCTCCTGATTTTTAGTTGTTTTGTCCTGCATCGATTTTGTTTTTTTCCAAAACTGATATTATCAGTTTCAGAAACAGAATTTCTGGATCAAGAGTCTAAATAATTGTACATTGAAAGAGTCCGCTGTACAAGAAGATGAGATTAGTGAACTTCCAAGCCCACAGGATCAAAATCTTTTTCCTCAATTCGTACTACAGTCTGTAACAAATGATAATACTGTTTCATAAAAAAATATTTCAAAAAAATGTTTTTTGTAAAAAATCTATGTTTTTAAAAAAGTTATTCTATTTTTTTGTTTTGCTTGTTCAAGAAAATATTGTATGATACTCTCCTGTTTTTCTCCTGATTTCGAAAAACTGGATTCGGCACCCTGATAATAATCAAGAATTCTTAGAAATCTAATTTTTCGTTTATTTGAAAGTAATCACGGAGTATTGCCCTGTCTTTTATGCAGACTCTCTTCTCTTCCAAACTAGCAATACTCAGAAGAGAGAATTATCTTTAATTATGTAATGAAAGTAAATTGTGACTATATCATTTCATTGCTTTGGAATCAATGTATTTTTGTTTCTCACAAATTGTTACGTAAAACTGTATCTGAAAACAACTTTAGTCACTTAGAGGACCACGAATTGCACATCCAGGTGTCACATTATTTTTTAAACATTTGTCTTGCAAAATAACAACACCATTTACTAAAACATGTTGAATACCAGACGACGGTATTGTTGGCTGTTCATATGTAGCTTGATCATGAATTGTACGAGGATCAAATACACAAATATCAGCATCGGCATCAATCGAGATTCGCCCCTTCTTCTTCATTTGGGACGATGCACTTTCCAATTGCCGTGCTGGCATTAATGTCATTTGCTTAATTGCCTCCATTAGTGATATTATGTTTCGCTCTCGAACGTAATGGCCTAATATTCGTGCACAGCTACCAGCCGCCCTCGGATGACCTTTAAGTGCATCACTGGCCATAAATGCTAATGGATGTTTAATACAGTCATCAACAGCTTGTTCAGGTATAGAGTAGATAATGACAGATCCACCAATTTGATGATATTTCTCAAATGTTTCCCTAGTTAATCGTTCACCAGTTGACACATATTGTAAATCTTTATAATCAATATTTAGTTGTTCACGCCAATTACCGTCGAAAATAAATGAATCAATGGAACTACAACCAGCCGTGTATGGATCTTAAGAAAAAAACTTATTTAAATCATTCTTACTATAAAATCAAAAGTAAATAAATATGTCACACACTTACAATATTCGGTTGTTATATTAATACCATTTGAATATGCTTCTGAAATAAGTTGTAGATTTTTGGATGTAGCTGTAAGACTTGTACTATGAATATGACAGATATGAGTTGTAGCTCCAGTGCATACACATACAGCAATTATCTCTTCTAAAGCAGCCATACTACCATCGACCTCTTGTGCACCAAAATAACGCATGTGAACGTGCGCGGATATGTTATATTTTTTTACTAGTCGAAAACATTCAATAATTTCCCATCGAGATGCTCCTGGTGTATAATGAATACCGAAACCGAGTGCCATTGCACCTCGTTTTATTCCAAATTCAATTTCATTTTTAATTTTCTCTAAGTCATCATCCGTTGCCTGTTGAATGGCTGCAGGAGAATCGGCTTTAGGTAAAAATGCTGGTGAATGATTGTAAATTTTCATTCTTACTTGAATATGTCCAATGCCAACACCATAATTGATTAAACTATTATTTTTTCGTTCATTATACCATTTATCAACGTCATTTGTGCCAACTTCAAGCTCAAATACAGATGTAACACCATCTTGAGCCTTCAATGCATAATGTTCTTTATCTTGTGAATGACAGTGGACATCAATAAAACCTGGACAAACCACTAAATCTTTAACGTCTAGAATTATTTTACCAGACAAAGGTTTTGTATCAATAGCGGTAATAGTTCCATTTCGAATTCCAATGTTTCGAATATCATCGAGACCCGATTCAGGATCCATTACGCGTCCATTCAACAATACAATATCAAATTCATCACTTTCACCCATTATCTATTGGAAGAAGAAAAAGAAACTTGATTTTTATCAATAGAGTTTAATACATATTCCTTCATCTTCATTATTAGATTAACTATCTAGCTCAATATCAAGAGATACCGCCAATCAGATAAAATAAACATCACTTATGCTTAATACTTTTCAGAAATTCTTAATTAGTTCAATATGAAGTAATAAGAATAGGTAAAAATTGCAAGGAACATTGCTATCTCGTTTAATAGATAAGTCTCTACCAAGTGGTATATAGAAGGAAGAAACAAATCGTATAACGAAAAAAGACTCTAGTACTGCCAGGTGTCTGATATCACACCACTCGTCACCATCGTCTCATAATAAACAAACGGCTTTTTCGGTTTAATTTATTTGCTTGTATAAATATCGAAAATTTATCTATCCATTTTGTATCCCTGAAAAATTCTATTTTCTAGTTATTGTTAAAACTTTTTCACCTTCCAACTTGTTTTATAAGAAAGTTTCTCTTTTTCTTCGTTTTATCAAAATGCACCGTTGCTGGACGTAGATGCGCATCAGTATTTCCATAAAAGCATTATAACTCGTTCAAAATCAAATCTTTCTATTTCACATTTTTTCTAAAATTTAAAAGAGGTAACAGGTCTATTGTATCCTAAGATATTTCTCTCTTTCAATACACTAAGTAGAAGAACCACAATTTCGTTATTTTTCAGAGATTTTCACTGCCTTAGAAATGGGCTTGGTGCAAATAGTTGAAACCAGATACTGCTTAAATTACTTGTCTCGTGGTTGATAAGTGACTCACAGTTAGTTTTGTGAAATATACACCAATTGTTTAGTTTTTCTGTTTTTCTTGCTTAGCCGTTCGACACCACAAGTTGGACAGCACAGTGGAACTTTTTCACTTCGATATGGAAAACAGAGTGAAAGTCAAATATTCAAAACGGAAGTCCACTCTATATGATATAATAAAAAGAAAACAAAAAAAGCATTTTGATTGGCAATTGCCCGTAAAATTTAAGTAATAAACCACGTTTTCAATTCTCTAAAACATCGGAAGGAAAGAAAGTATTTACAATGCCATCCTTCTATCGATGAATCGTTGTAAAAAGGCCATTACATCGTTACGGGAAAAAAACTTCTACAGTAAAAGTGTGATATTGACATCGCACTTAAAGCGTAACGATTCCATGGAAAATATGTAATATTGTACCTTTACGCTGAAGGTGGGGCTTCACTTGAGTGCGTCTCATTTGGGTGCGTTGCATTTTGGTGCGTCTCATTTGAGCGCATTCTCATTTTAGTGTGTCTTAGTTTAGTGCGTCTCATTTGAGCGCATTCTCATTTTAGTGTGTCTCATTTGAGTGCGTTTTCAATTACACAACTCGTTTGAGATTAATTCTCAGTGGTTAGTAATCTTTTATAGTAATAAAAGAAATAGCGTAGCTTACAATATTTTTGAACAGCATCATCCACATACTCTTACTGCAGACTGATATTTTGAAGACTATGTTATAAGGCCTGGTTGATATCGAAAGGTTCTCTCTTATCCGCGCTTTAAACTTGTAAGAAATTTTCTCCTGAAAATTTCTCTTTTTTTAATTGTACACAAGTTTCCATATTTATCCGGAATACAAAGATTTCGTGACGATGTTGGTAGCGGTGGTTCCTTCCTTTTTTATCTTGGATCTCGGCCGTGCGAATGTGGATTCCATTAAGAAGACATGAGTTTTATAGATATAAGCTCCCTTATCATTATAATAAGAGTTACTTACTCAAATCTGGTTCACATAATCTTTAAGAATGTTAAGACGACCAGGACAACCATATTCCCGATTTCCATGAGATCGATTCTTTTTGATGACGTTCAATTCTATAACTATATCCTTCAAATTGAACTGTTTGTTTGCCAAGGCCTGTTTCGGATATTTCAACTTTAGCCATATTGCTTGACTTAGAAAACAGAAGATCTTACCATGTAAAAAGAGATGATGACTGACTGCTATGTGAGTGCATTTTTCAAATTGATAGATTTTGAAAGTACCTGGGTCACATTAACCTGCATGTTAACTTTCACAATGCATAATGGTTTAGAGAATATGTGAACGTATATATGTGTTTACTCTCCTTTTGTTTGAAATTCAGATACGACACATGTATTTGTAATCGAAAACCTTTTCTTTTAATTTGCATTCAACAAAACTCGTATAGCAGTCACCGTTTCTTTGTACATCGTCTGATCTGTTCTTTTCTAAGTCAAGAAATATGGCTAAAGTTGAAATATTCGAAACAGACCGTGGTAAACAAGCAGTTCAATTCGAAGGATATAGTTATAGAATTGAACGTCATCAAAAAGAATCGATCTCATGGAAATCGGGAATATGGTTGTCCTGGTCGTCTTAACACTCCAAAGATTATATAAAACCAGATTTGAGTAAGTAACTCTTATTATAATGATAAGGGAGCTTATATCTATAAAACACACGTCTTCTCAAAGGAACTCCACATTCGTACGATCCAGATCCAGAAAAAGTTGTTGTTGATATGAAAAAAAGATGTGACCATCAGCTTCCATACGCTGCTTTTCAAGCATCTAGTCAAGTTGTCACTGATCCACAAATAGCAGCCGCAATACCCAGTTTTGAAAGTCTTAGGTCTACATTATATCGACATAAAGGAAATAAAAATGAACTACCGACACCAACATCGTTGCGAAATCTTTGTATTCTGGATAAATATGGAAAATTGTGTACAGGAGAAAATTTCTTATATTCACAGTTCAGGTAAGAGAAAACCTTTCGATTTTTTTATTCTTAAATGTTTTAATTTCCCGTTCAGGATATGTGGTACTCGTGACAGACCACGGGCTTCGTTTGTTGTTTAATGCTACAGAAGTCCATGTTGATGGCAACTTTAAAGTTGCACCAACGTCCACAGACCGGTGGAACACCTTTTTACGAAATTATTCTCATTTTTCGGTCTATTCCATAATAAACTATTACCATTAGCGTTTGCCTTTTTTAATGGAAAGTCGAAAAAAAAATACGCACCCAAATAAGACGCACTAAACTAAGACACACTAAAATGAGAATGCGCTCAAATGAGACGCACTAAAATGGGAGCGCACTCAGATGAGACGCACTCATATACCACACACACACCCTTAGCCCCTCCCCCTCCCCCCCGAATAATCCATGACCATTTTTTGAATAACTTTTGAATGGTGAAAGCTAGAGAGCTGAAGTTTTCTGATATGGAAAGAGTAGATTATGGAGCAGCATTTTATAAGCGGAAACCTTTTACGAGTTTTTTTCAAGGGATTTCTAGAAAACTCGTGCATAACGGAAAAATTTTACAATACCAAACTATTAATTTTTTTTACATCAGTGGATAGAAGAAAGCGTCCTCTTCAAAATGGGATCTAAGCGACTTTCAGTTATGCGTGGCTTATGCGCGGCATCGGATTTACTGGGAGGCCGAGGATCGATATTCCCTTAGGTGTGGTACTCCCGGAAATGAGTGGAAAAATAGGTTATCGGCCACAATGCGTCTCGTGGTACCATTTTTTTTTCCGAAAAAAGTTCAAAATCCTAGTGAAAACCTCTATTACGTGAAATAACTTATTTTTGTCTATTTTCACATAAAATTAGAAAATTCATAGCTCGGTCAAAACTGATTCAGACTGCGTCAGAATATTAAGATATACTCTATTTTATCTGCATCATGTCATGGAGTTTAATAGAACTTTTAAAAACCAATATAAAAAGAAAGGTTTTCTAGAAATCTTCCGAGGTAAGAGAATATTTTATACCACTCTTAACTACAGCAGATATGATTCTGTATTTGTCGTTCTGTTTGAAATTTCATATTGTTTCTGTCTAATTCATCTTAACTATACTTGACAAGTGCTTGATCGAGTAGCTTGAAAAAATTCTCTAGTATCGAAGTAGTTAGTGTCAAGTACAGTCAGTCACTAGGAAGAGGAATTGAATCTCGTATTAGAGCTATATATTTTCTATATAGATGTATAACACAATGAATAAATATATCTAGCAGAAAAACAGATACGTAGAAAAAAAAAACTATACACGACAAGTAAAAAAGCAACGACATATTCATTCCATTTTCAGTCAATAATAATTGGATCTTGTTTTTTATGTGTTTTCTTCACTGGCTGTTTTGGAGTTAGATGTTGTGTAGAATTGACTGGTTTGACTAAACGTTGTTGATAAATATCATAGAGCATGTCATTATTTAACTGCTCTTTTGAATCATATATTTGATGTTTATGAGTACATTGTTTTGTTGGGTGATTCAAATGCTGCTGGAATTTATTTAAACCAGTTATGTTTGGTTTATCATCAGATGATGTCAGATATGCGCGATGAAGTGCTAAACGTGCATGATTGGAACATAAATTCTGTTTATTTCCAGATTCTTGCTCATCCTCATCCGTTAGGTAAACGATCTCATCATCATTAGATAAACGTCTCTTTTTACTTGCGAGTGACTCAAATGACGAATTTCTCTTTCTTAATGAATCTAAAATCGGTGAACATTTTTTAGGCGGTTGCTGTTTAATACATGCTGTAGACAAAACAGTTATATGACTATTTTGATTTCTCTCATTATTAATCAAATATTCTTGCTGCTGAATCGGTTTTGTTAGTCGTTTAACTGACATTGAATTTGAATGTAGACAATGAGTATGGTGTGGCGATGAAGTCAAATTCGTTAAAAGTATCAGGTTTGAATTATGTACATTTGATTCAATATTATTGGTTGTAGACATCACAGCTAAAATTAGAAAAAAATAATAGTCTGACATAGAAATAAAGAAATTTGAAAAAATGACAGACATGATCCAACAGGTGATAATACAACTGGCGTTTGTTCTTTTTCTTCTTCAATAGTTGGCTGTTTGCTTTCAACATTTAATACGATATCTTCTAAGTTATTGTTATTTTCTACCACATTTTCTGTTAGATTTTGAAACTGCGCATTGTCTATATCCAACTGCTCAAACACTATATCTTCATTATCATTATTAGTCAACTCTTCATTATCATTATTATTTATCTCTTCATTTATTATTTCCTGTTCTTGTTCTTCATCAGTTTCGCTCTCATCTTCATGGCTTTTAACTGATTCGTCCTCTTCTTCGTTGTTTTCATTCATGTCACCAACAATTTGTTCCGACATCGATGCATACTGATCAAAAAGTTGATTTATTTTGTATTCACCATCTTGATCATTTTTGGCAAGTACACGTTCAAGTTCATTATCTTTTAACGCCGGATCATTGTCATTTACACTAGAGAAAAGATGATAAATTAAATAGTGACATATTTAAATAAAAGTAAAAGAAAAAATATTCACTTGAAATCATCTGGCAATCGACTAAGAAGTATTTCTTGATCATCTTTGCGACGTCGATGACGCATGGCTTTTCCAACTACTTTAAATGCTTTTATAGCAACTGATTCAATTTTTTCTGAACTAAACATAGAATAACAAATATAAATAAAATAATAGATTTTATTTTTTAAAACTTATAATTGAATATTTTACATATCACTATTATTAGTTTAAAACTTTTCAAATTTAGCTTTAAAAGACGTTTACTCTGCTAATAACATCCTACCTAAGATTAAGTTCGTTTATTCTATTAGCATTTTCAACTGTTTTTCGGACATCACTAAAATCTGGAAAATATTTGATATTTTGAATCATTTGTTGTAAATCATTATTAATACATTCGTATTCTTCGCATGCTAAAGGAAATGAATTAACGAGATTAGAAAATTAAAACAATATATCCACACAAATACTCACCAACCACATCTATTGGTACTTGTATAATTCGTTCAGTTGTTGGCAATTTATTTTTGAGTCTAGCTAATTTGAGATGTGTCTAAACGACAAATAATAATAACTTTTGTATAATACACTGATCAAAAAACAAGAAAAAAATGCAGCAAAAAAAACAAAAGTGTTAGTTCTTTATATGACTTGACTATAGCAGATATAAGCTTGTGTATTTCTTATACCATGTATACTATGCGATTGAATTCGTTATACTAACATCGTAAGCACGTTCTTTTAATTTTGCTTCAACCAAATACAAATCCGAATTTTTCATTTCATCCAATGTCATTTCAGTTTCTTCTAACTTTCGAATGGTATTTGATAATGACTAATGATATAAAAATTTAATACAAACAATAAATAATCTAATGAACATTCATTTTACGTACGCTTAATCTATACTCGAGTTTTCGAATTTTTCTTTGACGTTTTAATTCTTCATCGCATTCTTTATTGATAGAATTTGATTCAGATGGTTTATCGAGTGTTTCATTGATTGCTTGTTGAATACATGGTATTGTACATTTTTCACAGTCATCTGTTAACAATTGTACATCATCACTACGTACTATTTCAGTTTCTTCGTATGTTGTAAGTACTTCTGCTGGATTAATTAAAGATACATTTTCATCAGTTACACCTAGAGTGGTTTCAGATGTAATTTCAATATTTATTAATGGAGATATTTGTGAAGTTTGAATATTTGTTATCGTTTCTATTGCTACAGGTATTATTGTACGTTTATGTGTATTTTCTGTGATTGATGAACTATTTGATATTTCATTTTCAGGTAATTCTGTCTGAGCTACAGTTGTAGTTGTGATTGAATGTTGAATATTTTCATCTCTGATGTCTGAAACAGATTTTGAACTAAATGAAAAAATTAAAAACGGCTGTTAGACAAAGAATATATTCCTTCGCATGCATCTGTTCGATAATTATCGTGGAATTTTACACAAAATCTCCTTATGCATTTTTGCAAAGACAAATGCCAATGAAATCCTTTGTTGATGTAACAAGACGCTTAACTTTCGGTATAGTTATGAGAAGAGAGACTCATCGTCTCTATGATAGTAAGAAAAAAGTTTTATCAATAATCTGTAACTTGTTTTACCATTGTTGTATAGGATGTTTCTTCAATAATTCCAACAAATTTGATAATAATGAATAGTATTTTGTCGACGGATCATATAATATTGTATATGTACTTTTCAAATATGTACTAAATTCATCGGAACAAATGAACGATGTTGATGTTTTGTTAAAATATTTTCGTAATTTTTGAAAAATTAATTCAATATCTTGGTCATGTTTAAGAATAACACGTATTACAGATAACAACTGAATAATAACAAAATGAGCATATTTTTAGAAATAATGGTATCAAAAGTTTAAAAAAAGAGAAAAATAATCAACAAAAAATACAAACCTCTTCAAATTGAACTTTTATGGAATCAAGGTCGTTGTAATTCGCGTACATTTCAAGACAAAAAAAAAATATGATATCAACTAAAGAAGAGGAAAAACGTTTACAGAAGAATAAATGATCTTGAATAAAATAACATAATTTTGTAAATAAAACACGTGTATATATATATATATCTTCTTGTCGATTATTTTAATTATAAAGTCTATAATTTCATTAATCACTTACATAGAGACGTTTTATTTTCTAAAATTAAAATATTTTTATTCTACAAATTTTCATTTATAATTTAGGTAGTGTGTATAAATAGTATTTCACAATAATAAAAATACTTAAACTCAAGAATATTGAATTATACATTTTTCCAATGTATAATTTATAAAAAGAAATTCAAGAATGGATTACTCATGTTCTATTAGATTAACTTTAAAATATATATTTCCTTCTATTACTATGATAATCATGTTTTCATCAAGGTGCCTAGACAGACATAGAGAGAAGAAACAGATATAATATGGAACAAATGAGTTCAATTTTATTTAACAAAAATACACAATATGAATGAAAAATGACTAATAACTTAAAATAACTGACGTTTTGTGATTTTAAAAAAAATCAATTATTTGACAACAACAACTAGATGAGAGTATAAAAAATATAATGAAAGAAAGATGAAAAACATTTACCAAGTATTTAACTATAAACTATATTTCATGCATAATATAAACTTAAAAAAAAAGAGAAAACAAACAAATTCAATATAGTAGTACAGAAATACACAACAAAAATTATATAAATACACTATTTCATTATATCTCTTCAATATTATTTTGTTGCTAAGAACACATTTCTATAATCGATTCTAAACAAACAATTTATACAATTTAATTTCAAAAATTGTTTATCATCTACGAAAAGTATTAATACTGTAAAACTTTTAAATACTGTTTTCAATCACAAATAAACAACATAATATACAAACAAAATATATAATAAATATCTATGACATATTTAAGACATAAAAATTAATTATACACCATTATAGTATTAGATTGATTTAAACGATCATTTTCAAATATTGAATAGAATGCTGAAAATATTTGTACTATATAAATACCACCCATTAAATCATTAAAACTCATTTCTAAATTTGATCTATTTACTTGTGTCCATGCTGAGAGAAATAATGAACAAAAACCAACAATCGAAAGCATTAAACGAATAATACCATTTCTAAGTACTTTTTCATAAAGTAGACAAATAATAAATGATATTAACAATGGTATAAAACATAATAAATGTATTAAATAACATAGAGACGATATAACATAAATATTATAGTTGAGATTCATTTTACCAACTATTTGCTTTATTAAAGAGACAAGTTCAACTTCATTAATGGTAGAAAAATTTGTTTTATTATAATAAATTCGATGTATTTCATAGGCTAATTTTAAATTATCAGCTGAATCAAATGATTCTTCAATATTTGTACCATTATTAGATTGATTTACAGATTTCATAGTAAAATTATTAAATTCAAACGATATAAATACAATAAGTAGAAATAATAGAAATGTGCAACAGACGGAACGAACAACTACTTTGAGTATGGGTGTGTAAGGCCTCAAATAAAAAATAAATAAATAAAATGGCCATACACATTCATACATTCGTACAGCTCACAGCATTTTTTTCAAGCTGATGACTTGTGCTTACAACATTCAACTACTATTTCAAGTATCTGTTATTTCTGTCACTTATTCAGCACTTTCAACTTGGAAAAAGATAGTTTGTTGTATCTTTCCATCTTTTATGTTTTCAAACGGTTCGAGAGGTACACTTTAAAACCTGATGACTAAACTCAAAACTAGCCATGTATACAAACAATATTTTTAATACTGGTGCTAAACATTTATCTAGTCTTAGTATGCCCCATATAGAAATCAGCAGTAGGCAAGAAACCTAAAAACTGTAAAGTTCAAAATCGAATCTTGAGAGATCTATTGTGAAACTCATCAAGATGGACTGATGTCTCGCATTTATCAGCAAAAATAACAACTATGATCTCTAGATCAGTAAAACGTTATGAAACTTTCATTTAAAAAAAACACGCACACTTTGGTTTTATGTTTTCTTGTTTTACGTTACTTTGACAAATGATTTAATTGACTATAATAAATCTAGTTTATTGTTTATCAAAAGTTTGTCAAAAAAAAAATAGAAAACAGTTAAATATTTGTAACATATGTTTCAAAATCTAGTGAGATTCAAGTCTATTAGGATCCACGATTCCGTCGTCTATAATTCGACGTTTTTGAATTGAATTTCTATTTCGTATTTTTTTATCTACATGAGACAGACATTTACTTAAAAACTTTTTGTGAATATTATTCTGTTGCCGCTATTGTTTAGCTACTTACATTTTAGTGCGAATAAATCGTGGCAAATGCAAAATATAGATGTGACCAAAACTGTTTAATCTGAAAAGAGAGACAAAATAATTATGTAACTTAATTGAATCTATTTTTTTACTTGACTAAAATGCATAGTTGAATGGTGTTTTCATCCATGCTACAGAAAATTATTAATCATCAATTTCAACAAACTCCTTTTAAAAAGCAATGTATATTTAAATGATTGTCTAAGTGTACTCACATAAGTTTACTCAATGATCCAATAGTTTAACTTCAAAATAATTATGATCATACGCACAGTTTTGAGTTTGATAATGATATATGATACACAGTCAAATCTGACAATGCCAATAGTTTAACTATACCACGATCTTTTTACTATTATTATCTGATAAAGCGGTTCAATAAAAGGTGGCGAAAGCTTATCTAATTGTAAATAAAATTATCTTCGCTAATTGTTCACAAAAAAAAGAACCAATAAGAAAAAAGCTTTAACGACAAAATCAGATTTAAAAAATATTAGACTTTTAAGAAAAAAGCAGTTGCGTGCGTTGTATATTGATGTAAAAAAAAGATAAACGTTACAAATTCAAGATCAACAAGAAAATAAATAGAATGAATAACCATTGTTTTTTAATGAATCTTCATTTTTACACTTATTTTTTTTTATCATTAACAAGTGTTTACATCTTCTTATCATCAGTGGACCAATTACTTCAATCAGATAAAATAATTTTTATAATTACTAAGGAAAACAAAATATTTTTTTTACTTTACAAGGTTTAAACAGACCATTTTAATTTTTTGCACAGCTAAATCTTCACTGTTATTGCGGCTATAAGCAAAATCTCGATATTGAAACTTAAACATATATCTTAATATCAAATATAATGTCAATTCTTTTTGCATGTTATAATAAGATAAATATTCTTATTTAGTTTTTAACAAATAACACACTCTTCTTTATCTTGAATTTTTTACATTATTTCGAAATTTAATGAAACCAATAAATGATTAATTTACTTTAGAAAAGTGTAAGAAAAACTATTTTAAAATTTTGAATCTTGTCAGATGGTTCAACTTTCAAAATAATTGTTTTTCTAAAAATATCAGAGATTATTGATTTTATCCTCCGGGAAAAAGGACAGTCAAGTTAAAAATATAAATCTAGAGTTGTCATATGCATACACGCGTATGAAACTAAAATATCAAATTTTTTTTTTTCAATATTATAATTCGATCGTTGTTTTCTGTAATCCAATGGTGATTTAGCAAATTCTAATGATTATATTCAATATTTTTCGTGTTTGTACAAATTATTTACTAGCAGAATTAAAATCAGAATTGGTCAATATATCCATGTAACCGTCAAAGTCAATGATCATTTAAAAAATAAAATATACATGTCTTAGCAAACTGATCTTAATTAAAAAAAATTTATGATATGTACTTGAACTTTGCTAATCTAAGATATCTTCACAATACTGTGCCCTTCTTAGTGCTTACTTTTGTTTGATGTTCTTGTTTATATATTGGATGTTGAATTATCTACAAAAATAAGAACTATATAGAGTAACTAATGCATAATCAATTGCTTAGAAAAATAAAATTAATCTCAATTAGAAGAAAAACGTTTTAAATGAGATTTATGATTGTTTAAATATCTTCTAGTAATATATCTGACAACAACAAAAAAATAAAGTAAAGTAGAAATAGAGACTCTATTTCTGTAGTATCAGACAAAAAAAAGTTCACATCTTCAAGTTTCTATTCATAAAAAATAAATTTTACATTATTTTTTGTTTTTTAGTAGTTTAACTTTCTAGAACCTCATACAATTGATGGAATATTTCTTGCTTGTATTCGGAAAGAATAGAAGCTTTTAACAAAAATAAAGTGCTATAAAACAGAAAGAAAAAAAGAATTAATAGAAAAAGTAAATTACCACTAACAAATAATATGCACAGAAAATTGCACAAGTAAGTTTTATTAATCAATTAATTTTCATCCGAATGTTGTTCATCTTCGTCTCTATTATTCATATCATCATTTTGAACATTATCATCGAGACTATTTAAATGTTTAGTAAATTTTTCTAAATTTTCATCTGTAAATTCGTGTTTTGAACGATGACCTAATCGAACCATAACCACCGGTGTATCCGAACTACCACTTAAATCTTTCATTTGATCAAATACTAAATAACCTTCTTTAACAAATTCTGTTTTAATCAACTTTTGAACATCACCAAATATTTTATGTTGATTTTGTGTTAAATTTGTTGGTAAATCTCCATTGATATTTAATGTATCAGATAACATTCGCCAAAAATCTGTTGCTGATAATTCACCACCAGCATGTTTTAAACATGTTGTTATGATCATTAATAGAGCCATTTTAGGATAATTTGTTTGTGTTACCAATGGTTTTTGATCGAGAGAATTTGCTAAATTATTTACTAAGATAAAACCATCATGAGATTCATCAAATTTAAGTTGTATACCTAAATCGAGACAAAGAAATTGTCATCTTGCAACATTACGTATCTACATATGTATGAATTATCAGAAAAATTATATACCAAATATTTTAGATAACACAGATTTTGTATCTTCAATTACAGCTGGATATAGTTTCTTATTTGTTTTCAATATCTGATTAATAAAATCTAAACGTTTGATTAATACAGGTTTAGAACAATTGGCAAGAAAATATTGAACACTAGCTTTGACGAATGGTTTATAATCGTCATCACGTACAGTCATATCTACTTCAGAATCACTACTGCCATTATTTTGACGTTGAGATTGAGTCGTTGTTGTCGGATTTAATTTTGAACGTTTGGCACCACGCTGAGAAGCCATATTACAGTTAAATACTGTTCAGTATCTAAAAAGAAAGAATAACTATAACAGTTTAGATTTAATATAACCAAAAATAAAGAGTACAACTTTCCTAACAAACTTTTTCATTGAGTTAATTATCGAAGTAGTTTATGTTCTCTTCTTACTTATTTAAAAGTCGCGCTGTTTCTCGATACTACTCTACAATAAATTTTATTTAAACAAAAGTTTATAAAAAAAGTGTTTCGTTCCTTTCATCATCAAGACAGATTTGATGATACATCATCTCATCACTTAGTAATAGATAAAAGGCATTTATCAAAAATAGTATTGAACACAAAATTTCACATTATAGCTGTTATCCATACATGGATTAAAGTCACATTTACTCGATTAGTAAACGAATGAGCAATGAAAAATGTCTGAGTTTTCATTACAGATGAACTACTACTTAGAGCTAACCAAAAGTTGAGACTTGCAGATAAAAACCCACAAAATAGATCTAAACAAGGTTTCACTCTAGCAAGTATTCGAGCTCGTAGCCATGATTATTTACACACAATTAATTTCTTTCAAGGCATTTGTCAAAAGATTTTTTTGACTAATCTTTACTTCAAAAATTCATGGTCTTGGTTACGATATTCAGTTCAATGGTTAGAACCGTTTTGATCGACTGAGTTTATCAATAAGATAGAACAATTGGAAATCACATACTTGATCCGTAGAATAAGGTGGGCATAACAAAATCATGATGGGTTCTGATTCGGGATAGTTATGAAGATCTTTATCAGTCTATGGGCAGACGCTGTCATAAGGAAATGTAATGATCTTTTCCGTTGATAAGTGATTGTAGGCAATTATTGATACGATATTGGTGATTAACTGTCTACCCTCTTTCCATATGTGTTTTTTAAAGAAAAGATTCGACCAGTATTTTTTAAAAAGAGACAAAAAAACAACGTTTTTGGAATTAACCTGCTGAGTCGGATTATAGTTGATGGGGATTCTTCGCCTGCAATCCAACTAGTTTGATGACTTTCGCTCTATTTGTTTATGACAAATCTAGAACTCATTATCTGGTACCGCATAATGTAATCACCATATTTCTTTGGTCGATCCTGTCGAACAAAATTCAGTCGATCAAAACGGTTCTAACCGTTGAATTGATTGCCGTAACCAAGACCATGGATGGCTCTAATTGACCATGAAAGTAAAGATTAGTCAAAAAAAATCTTTTGACAAATGTCTTGAAAGAAATTAATGGGATGTGAGTAATCACAGCTACGAGCTCGAATACTTGCTGGAGTGAAAACCTGATTAGATCTGTTCTGTGGGTTTTTATCTGCAAATCTCAGAACTTTTGGTTAGTCCTAAGTATATTAGAAAAAGAAATAAACCATAATATTTTGAGATACATTTGATGTTCGTCATAATGTCATGTTGTGAACAATGACAAAAACAATATTTGTATCTTATATTTCATATGTACGAAAGCCAAACGAAAAATCTTTATCCGTAACGTGAATGTTAGTCTACAGATAAAAAAAAGGCGTAGAAAGTATCGTAGAAACTGCGCTAAATTTCCGATAGTTAGCTCATTATTGTTATGGTCCTTGATAATATGAACATTCATTTTAAAAACAAAAACTTTACCATCACGTTTTTTTAAAATTAAAACTCATCCATTTAGTACAAGAAATTGCTTTGTAACAACAAAGTTAATCGATCCTTCGTTGAAGGATCAATATCAATGCTTTTCGTTTTTTTTTCAAAAATGGAGTTACTTAAAAAATCATGCTCATTTTTGAGAAGTTTTTCGTAGCTCATATTATAGTTGAAATCAAAAGCCTTTACTGAGATATCGGTGCTTTTCCATTAGTCCCCGTAGTGTGACAACATATCACTAGAAGAAATCAGAGACGATTGTAAATAAAAAATGTTAGAAAAGAAAATCGGCTTAGGAAGTCAAGAAATGCGTTGGATGCATTGTCAAAGTTATGCAGGAGAATACATAGTTTAGAATCAATATGAATGTATTTTTTAGTCATTCGGCAAAACCTCGTGATAATTATCGAAATCTGACTGCTCAAGCTCAGTCCTTCGTGCATAGAGAATATGGCCTTTGAAACATCAGGCTTAGAGAAGGAAAACTTCAAGAAAGAAAACAACAGAATTTCGAACCTAAGAATCTGTTCGCGAGAAAAGTACGTTCAAACGAAAATGTTTTGTAGGATGGAAGATCTGTTTCTCTTAGTCTCCTTATGTAAATCAAAATAATTAACTAACGTATCTGAATGACAGTCTGCACTGTGTAAATAAAGTACACTAAACATCTATGCACTGTTTTGCAGCGCAAATATCTAACATTCCTCTAAAACACAGGTAACTCATTTATTATTTATTTATTATCCTATTTTTGTTAATTCTTTTCTTTTTCATGAAAAATCGTTTCTTTTGAACAGACAAATAAAAGGTGTGTTTTTCTTGTTATACAAGATTTGTAAGTTTTTTTCTGTAATAATTTACAGGTTCATAGAAATATGCGAATTGTTTTTAGCTTTCCTTTGTTATTCAAAGGAGATCCGTGTATCTTGAAAAAAGATAGTCTTACTTCTCGGTGCTGTAGCACTTCTTTTTGGAATGTGTACACTTTCTGCACTTTGTGGGAAAAAGCATAGTGTATCACCATACTGCGCCTAGACAGGCAAACAGCAGAGTGGGCGCATACACTGTGCGAAAAAATCTCATTAGAAACATCGAAGATCGTTTCACCTGAGATCCTTCGAAACAACAGAAACAGGAAACCATTTATGTATAATTTATATACTGAGGAATATATAAAAAGATATTCAAGAACATTTAAAAACACGGCATTGAGATAGAACACTAAGAGATCGAGTTCATACTAGGTTGAACATGAGAAAAATCAAGAGGATAGAGAGAGGAACAATCAGGAATACATTAGAGTTTTCTCTTTTAGCGTATCTTTATGTTTTTCTTGATGTCGCATGTAGATATGTGTGTGTCAGACATGAGGATACATATAGAAAAGAAAAGGTGATCTGTATGCGACATCAAGAAAAAGATCAGGATACGCTGAAAGAGAAAACTCTATTAGCAGCAAATAGACCAATTTCACAATTAAGCACAAAGGAAGACCTTTAATAAATATAATGAGAAAAAGCGGTCCCAGAACGCTTCCCTGGGGAATGTCAGAAGAAACAAGACAAGAGCAGAAAAAGAAACAATCATCCACATCAACAACCCCCGAAAACAGTTGAAAAAAAAGAAGAAAGACGATAAAAGAATGAATCACCATACAACAACTAGACAACTTTTCTAGAGAGACAGAATGAACTTTATTAGGGAAATCAAACGACACAGCCACCAATCATAGGTCACACCAATCAAAATTCAAAAATGAACCTCCGTTCTCTAGTCTATATCACAAGACAGGACAAGCTCGAATAAGAAAACCATATTTATAAGATTGTATTTATATATTTGCACGGATCCAGTGCTTAAAAACGTTCCTTCCTTCGGCTTACTTATGTAATATGATTAGTTCTTTTTTAATAGAATGAGATGAGTTATTGCTTTTGGATGACAGCCGCTTGCTAGTTCTCTCGCCCGAAAGGAATTTTCTGTTTTATTTGCTTATTAATGAATGAGACCAAGTAATCGTTATAGATCTTTTTTCTCATAATAACTATCTGTTGCAATTTCAGCCGATATTTTCGCTTAGCAAACAGCCAAATATCTCTACGCGAGGAACTGAAACTTTGTTTAATAAACTTATCACAGTTCTTCCTGGTTAACACCAGCTCTTCACTATTATAGATTTTATCAAAAATTATTCATAGAAGGACAAAATGGTTGAAGTAAACGATGTCGAAATGAAAGAAACTGATGGAAAAGAGCCAACAGTAACAACTGCTGCACTTTCTAAAGAAGAGAAAAAAGATGCCGATTTATTAACATTTGATGGTGAGTTTCAGTCGCTTTGTTGAATCGGCACAAAGGGTTGAAGGGAAAATTTCCTTCGCTATCTTAAAAGGTTACCAGAGTTGGAGTAATAAAGATCAAAATAGAAAAGCAAATAGATGTTTGTTTGATGAGAAAGAACTACGCTATTGTTCACGATTTCTCGGAATCGCGATGCTTCCATTAGATAGATAAACGAATTCTAGGTTATTTATGACATGTTTTTTCAATGTTATTCTAGACATCAAAGAACAAGTGAGAACGATCGAAAAAGCTGTAACGTCCAAAGAACCTCGTTATATTCTTCGTGTATTACGAGCATTAGCCTCAACACGAAAACGTCTAAATGAAGATGTACTTCGTCGTCTTATTAATTTCTATTATACATCAAATGCTAGTGAGAGAGAAATACTTTTATCCTATCTTCACCCTGCTCAGGTAACTTATGAATCAACTGTACGTAGAAATACTATAAGTTTCTCTTTTCAGCCAATGGATGTCGATGTTTCATCTACAACAACCATAGCTACAACGACATCGGGCACACTGACAAGCACAGCCGGTGGAGCAGTACCATCATCGCGTCCTCAAACATCTCGTACACGCGCTGGTTCATTGCCGGAAGTTGATTTGTACATACATTTAATTGTACTTTTGTTTTTGATTGATCGAAATCCATCAAAATCTGTAAGTTTAAAATAAATCATGAAAAATATACGAGTTTCTAACTGTGAAGTCTATTTATAGGCTCTTGAATGTTCCAAACGTCTTGTTGAGAAAACAGCGGTATTAAATCGTCGTACAATCGATTTACTCGCTGCAAAATGTTATTTCTATTATGCTCGTGTTTTTGAATTAAATAATAAATTGGAAGAAATTAGACCGTACGTATCTGTTTTATTAATTAAAAAACCGTGACTGTATGTATTTAGACTAGCTGCAAAAGGAATTCAGTGACCCGCCAAGGAGTTTTTTCGAAGTTTTCGACAGACGTTATTGATGCTTATTAAGTTTTAATTATCTTAAATAAGCGATCTGAATGATAAAATTGTTCTTAACTTTTTTGTTTAGTTTTCTTCATTCTCGTTTACGTACAGCCACATTACGTAATGATTTTGAAGGTACCGCCGTATTGATAAATTTATTATTAAGAAATTATTTACATTATAATTTATATAGTCAAGCACAGAAACTTGTATTAAAATCAGTTTTTCCCGATCATGCGTCTAATAATGAATGGGCACGGTATCTTTATTATCTTGGTATGATACATGAATACAATTTCACTATTTTTCATAATATCTATGTGTTCTTGTTTAGGGCGAATACGTGCTATGCAACTGGAGTATACAAAAGCTCATCAACATTTGCTAACAGCTATTCGAAAAGCACCACAACAAACAGCTGTTGGCTTTCGACAAAATGTAAAAATGATATTACCATCTGCATCTAGTAAGAATAATTATATATGTTTTTCTTTAGGCTCAAAAATTTCTTGTAACTGTTGAATTATTACTCGGTGATATACCTGATAAAGCAACATTCAAAAATCCACAGTTGAAACGTTCACTTGATCCCTATTATCAACTGACATTAGGTATATATTCACTTGACATAAGTTAAGTGATATTTATACCTTTTGTTTGATTATATTATTTTTAGCTGTACGTGCAGGCAATTTGGCTCGATTTAAAGAAGTTCTTGACACTTTTGGTGATCGTTTTCAACAAGAAAAAACTTGGTCACTTATTATTCGGTATGATTTGTAAGATTAATCGACAATTGATACGTTATTACTATTGTTTGTAGACTCCGACATAATGTGATTAAAACTGGAATTAAAATGATTAGTTTATCGTACGCAAAAATATCGTTTGTTGATATTGCACAAAAATTACAATTGGATTCACCTGAAGATGCCGAATATATTATTTCTAAAGTAAGCTCATTGACATTGTGCATCAATTAAAATAATTGAAGTGTAATCTGTCGTTTAGGCAATTCGTGATGGTGTCATTGAAGCGTCGATTAATCATGAAAAAGGCTATATGCAATCGCGTGAAATTGTTGATGTTTATACAACACGTGAACCAATGAATGCATTCCATCAACGTATTGAATTTTGTTTAAAGGTACATAATGAAGCTGTTAAAGCCATGCGTTATCCACCGAAAAAATACAATGAAGAATTAGAAACAGCTCAAGTATGTTTTTTTGTTTTATTATTATATTTTTGTATTAAATTTCTTTTTATTTCATTTTTTAGGAACGACGTGAAAGAGAACAAGAAGAATTAGAATATGCAAAAGAAATGGCTGATGATGATGATGATTTTTAACAGTGGCAATAATAACAGAGATCTAGGCAAATTCTTTCGAAAGACGTTCGGTGACGTTTAAACAATTGTTGTTCTTTCCACTATGATTTGCGTGCTAACGTTTTTTATTTACATTTTTTTCCCGTTTTTTCTTCTTTGGTTTCAAATAAACATGATCACTACACTTGTGCTCTACTGCTGATATGAAAAAAGACTAAGCAGAAGATTGCAGAAAATTCTTAAGTAAAATAGCCTCTCTAATAATTTACTGACTCATTTTTTGGAATAAATTGATTTTGTGTGAGCACTGCTTTGGTTACTTCACTGAATTAATACTGTTCAGTTGCTTACTATGTTTTTCATGATGTTATGATATTTCTCACTTTCAATAAGTTTAGAGAGCTAGAGAAGTTATGATGAAATATTTTGAAAGTAAAATTTATTTTTTTAATAAGCTATAAATATTACGACCTAATAGAAATGAAAAATATGCATAAGTATAGCCTAAGATCTTGTTGTTTAGATGTTGAACGATGCACTAAAAGGCAATCAAATAAAGTTCCATCAGTGTCGGCAAAGCATAAAGTGATAGAATCTTGTCAAAATGATGTTCTTTAGACGTCATACTCAAGATAAATCATTGGCATAATCTAATATTACCAGTAACAATCGAGGCTAATAATCATGACCAGTCACATACAAATGATTTTTGAACAATATTCCACTACAAAATGCAATACTACTATTCATTTGGAAATGAAGATGTATTATTTTCACAAACGACAGAACAAACTGAAACTTGAATGCTTGACAAGTACTTGATGTACTTGCAAAAACTCTCAAGAATGTTGGACAAAAATCGCTAGAGTACTTGGGCAAGTATTTGTATGCAAATGCATTTACTAGGTTAAATTACAGAGTCGAGAGCAGTCATACTTTATAGTATGTTTTAGGTGTTCTCAAAATGTGGGTCTCCCCTATTCTTGTTATTTTTCACAAATGAAGATAAGAGAGAAAGAGTCTATTTCTTGATCGATGTTTGCTGTTTTCCGTATTTTTGACAATAATCTTTCGTCTCATTATTTTATTGTTTTGAGCTTTATTTTTTTATTTTTTCCTCTTTTTGTTAACACACACGCACGCAAAATTGTTTCGATTTTTCCATCGTTTTTCATTCATTCTCTGTACTTTTATTTATTCTATTACATTCTATCATGAAAACTTTTCTTTTTTTTTATCACCCACTTTGAAGGTATAGCTACACGCTCAAACAACAAGTATTTCATCCTCTTTTGAAGCTATAAAACAGAACACTGTTTTTTTATGTATTAACCGATGCCATGATTAGACTTAATTGGAAAACTATATCTGTTCAATGCTACATTTGCATTTTAACAGCCCTAAAAAACACATATAATAAAGTTTCCAGATTATTTTATATTTACTAACCGTCTTTTAAAGTTATAACAAAAAGTTCGATTGGTCGGTATGAATTTTGATGTAGGTCTCTTTTCAAAAAGCTACATTCAAATTAAGATTGGTCTTGAAATGTTTTACCTTTATTTACTATATGTTGTGGACTCATATATTCATGACTCATGCTAGCAAAATGCAATAATTTGTATATGATGGCAGCTGAATCATCATGAGTCTTTCCCACTTTTAGCAATCGATAAATCAATCTGACTTGTTTTCTTTCCCAGACCAGATGAATAGTAGTTACAAAAAAAAAGATTTATATCCAGTTGCAAGTAAGTGTCAAATCAACGAGATAGAAAATTATCTTCAGAAAAAGCAATAGACTCAAACACATCTTCAATTAGATAATACATTGCGGTCATGGAAACAATTTCACCGCATCATTTGTTGAGCTTATCCAATATCATAAAACAGAGATGAATGTAAAAGAACAGCGGTCAGATTTTGTATATTTTTAGCTTACAATTCTTTTTTTCTTCGGATTTTGTATATAACAGTAATCGCAGCCAGTGTGACTTTCCATCCGATCCATCACACTTTTTGCGTTCTTCTATGAATCCATCGGTATCATTAACGTCGATTTCATACGATACTAGTTATTTCTGTGAACGATCTTTCATTTTTTTAACTAAATAAATTTTTGTATGACAACTGCTTTTTAGTTATAGAAAAACTCAAGCCTTGGAAACTTGAACTGGCCTTTACTATGCACGCAGTCCTCGAGACTGCTTTTCTGTAACTTTACGTCGTCCTGACGGTTAACCAGGAAAAAGACAAAATTCATTGTCACAATTTCTCTATGAGTCACACGAATTTAGTGCCCACACCCGACTGTATTTTTTCTTTCTGGCCAGAATAAAGTAAAGTATAAGATTCACCCTCGTATACACTTTGTGTTGAACCCTATTCGATTCGACGAATTTCTGACAGACCCATCAGCTTCAACTGGTGATCGTATGTGTCAGCATGGCAATGTGTAGCAGACCGGTTTGTGTAAGAGAGTTCGAACATTACGGAAATCGAACTTAAATTTTTCGTGTAGGTCCATCTCCAACGTCAAGATTTGTATACACAAAATATCCTTCCTATGACTTGACTGTCAAACTATATACCATACTTGTATGTTTTGAACAGTTTCAGAGAACTACATTTTGAAGGAGGTGGAAGAAGAAAGCATAATCAACTAGTAATACAGATTTTCTGGTTAAGTTGAATGATTTTTCTACATAGTTTACTACATAGTTAAAAACACAGCAGAGAGCGAGTGAAATTCACCGAAAATTATCAAAAGGGAGATAATTATTAGATATTACTAAAATTCCTTGATCGTTGGAATAGAGATAGACTTCTCTACTGCACAAGTCAAGTATGAAATAACAAAAACGACATAGAAAACGGTGGAAATAGACAGTCCACTCAGTGCACTTATCATTTAATGCACAAACAAAAAAACTCAGTAATCTATCAACTTAATCACACTATGTTCGCAGGGTGCTCCGATGCGAACTTACCTAAAGGAGGTTTCGGATCGCTGGCAACCGCCCGAGTAAAACAGCGCCTAGAAAAAATACTCCAGCATCGCGTTATTAAGACGAAACATCTAATTCTCCTGTATTCTTGGTAAAAGCGATGTTGGATTTATCTGCGCCCGCGGCCTTGGCAACCCAGAGCAAGATCTGATGATGACCGAAAGAAAATGATTTTGATAGAAAGGCACTCTCGAGGACTGAAAAGCCAAGTTTCAAAGGCTTGAGCTTTTCTGCAACGAAAAAGCGGTTGTAAAACAAAAATTTATTTAGCTGAAATAAGTCAAGTTTAAAATATCAAAATCATCATTTTTTTAACATAGAAATGTTTCTATTTTTTTGTTTTATTTCATAAATATCATAGCGGTGGCATACTGATATAATTTTATTTATCTATTAAGATATTTACTAAGGTATCTATTTCAATTCTACACGATTAATCATTACATTTAAGAACAAAAGATAAAAAATGATGTTCAGTGTATTCATCATTTGTTAACTAGAAAAGGAATACAATTTCATTCACAAATTACTTTGATATTTATTGTCGGAGGAATATAACGATGTAATCCTCTTTTGATACCTTAGTTCACAACTAATACCAATCATCAATCTCTAAATTATGTTTTCATAATACCAAGTCATTCAAACATTTTTGTATTTTGAAAATAGTTGATCGAAAAAGTAATACTTCAATTATCGTTTGATATAACATTGCATCTGATAACGAAAAATATCACAAAAAATCAAAAAATATAATCCAATTATTAATACGTCTACTTTCTTTTATTAAGCTTTAGAGTTTTAGAGTACAGTTCACTATGACGTTCAGTATCGACTATATTGTCCTATTAGTAAAATTGCTAAATTTGTTTGAAAAATACAAGTTAAATGTTATAAAGAGATGATAATAAAATAGTATAGAATTATCTATAACTGCTTTGAATTACACTCGGTTCGATTTATATCAATTCTAATGACGTGGGTTTCTTTTCTTTTGTAAACGCGCAGATTTTTTGCCAATTATTATACTCATCGTTAGGGAACGAAGTATAAGTACGATATCACAGAACGGTACAAAGGATACTACTTTTTAATTGTTTGTAAGATAGATATAGAGAAAAAGAACGACGATGTATATCAAGTATGTGGCTCTGAATGTATTCAGAATTATTAAGTTGGAATTTAAAGAGTTGTGCAGTAATTATCAACATACTGTAATGTCTCTTCGTCATTAGAGTTTCATTGGGTGTATTATTACTAGTAATATATGTTTACCATCTTAGCTATTACTTCATCAACGGTTATTGGATGGAAGTGTTCAATTTATTTTTCCGTTTATACTTGAGGAACATTGAATGAAAGACATTATAGAAATCATTTTTGTGTTCTATATATAGAAAAGATTATAATATTTTTGCTTAATTAAATTTGTTAGTGTGAAGATTATCTATTGTCATTATAAAATTAACTTAATTTATAAGAATTACAATTTACTTTAATGTCTGTTTATTTCGTTTATTGAAAAACTGATTATTTCATTGCATCAACATTGATTCATACATAGTCAAAGCAGTAATAATCTTATCAGCTAAACAAAAGATTAAATTGTACGAGTAAATAAATATAAAAATAACTGAATCATAAAATAAAGATCATTTTTTTTGTTTCATAATTCTCACAGGTTATCGATTAATTTTCCTTTAAAATTTGATTTGTTATTTCTTTTGTTCTGAAAATGATCTATAGAAAATACTTTAATCAATGAACATTCGTTTTATTCTTTTTTACAATAATATTAACTAATGGCGTGTACAATAAAAAGGAACTATTATGTAACGGAGATTTGAATGTGTTTAACGATCAAATCTCCAATGATTTAGTCCTTCGTATGTTGTATAGAATTTACGTACACTATTGTAATTCAAGAGAATATTATCAAAAATGTTCATTTCAAGTATTTTTCATCAATATCCATTTGATTCGAGTTTAATGAACTGAGTGATCATTGCATGATTAATTAAAAAACATTGCCAACAGTCAAATTTTGTCAGTCACACAGTAGTTGTAGTTGTTTTTTTGTACAATGATGGATGGATGATGTACATTTTCTATTCTCAATTGTCTATCCAACAATTTATGTTGAGCAGAATGTGCATATTTTATTCTTGTGGCTTTTATTACTTAGCCATAATATTTTGTCTACTTGAAAGAGGAAAAAAATAGAAAGAGAATGCCAAGTAGGTCTTCTCTATGTATACATAGCCCCATCTGTCTTAATTATTTTATTCTCTCGTTCAAGAAAGCGGATGAGAGAAAGAGAGTATACGGAACGCTGAATATTCATTAAAACATTAGAAGAAAATTGAACATAGCGGTCAGGAAACACACACGTCGCCACGAACTGAATGACCAATAAACAATATCTTTCGAAATGAGCGATAATAGAGAGCGTTCAACAGCAAAAAAAAATTCTTTTTTTTTTTTTTTTATCGATATGTGTATGTGTCTATACAATCTGGATGCAGAGGGTAACTTTGACGATTGTATCTGTAGTACGCAACATGTAGAAAAAAAAAAAGGAAAAAGAAATTGAAAAAAGCGGCGATATAGTCAGTCGAGTCTTTAGTCTCCGAGCTAATAATGAACACGAACAAACAAAAAGAAAATAAGCAAAAAAAAAAAGAAGAAAAAAAAAAGAACGAGAAAGAATTACTGATAGTATTAAACTGAAGTCCACTATACATAGTACTATAACCCATCGACAGAAAAGAAAAACTTTCTCTTACACATACAAAGAATTGTTGCAACTGATTAAAGCGTATTTTTTTAGGAACAACTATTTTCTCAATCGACTTTCTCCCTCTACCTTTTCGTTCGTACTTTATTTATTCCAACAAAAAGGTAGAGTATACACACTATACGTAATAAGAACTATTTTGAACAACATCACAAAGATAGACATCAGGGAGAGAAAAAGAATAAAGAGAAAGAGCAAACGTACAACCCACTATTTGGTTATGACATAGTAGACGAAATAATTACAACACAAAAAAGTTTGTTAGTACAGATCTTTGTCCAAAGGCCATAATAGAAGAAAAAAAGAATAGGAAAATGGCACTACTACTCGCCAACTAACATCAAAAGACCGCTACATCTCGCCGTGTAATCAATTAAATTATTCTATTATATCGTAGATCAATTTTATTTGAACTTAAAATATTATTATCATCGTTATTAGAATTCAAATGGAACAACAATGACTATTTGTTGTTATCTCGATCGTTCAACATTATTTATTTATATTTTAAAATTTTAATAATTAAATTCAAAAAATATAGAAGATGAACGTACTTGAAAACGCTGAAAAAGAATGTTCGATACTTGGTGCATTATTTCAAAGTATTGTCAACGAAATGAAGGTAATTTTTATATCGTCTGTTGTTTTTTTTATTTTGACTATATCAAATGATAACTGTAGAGACTAAATTCGATTTTTTCTTTTTGACGAATTAGTCTTCGTTTATATACGACAGAAACTATAAAAGTGTTTGTTGGCATATTGTCTTTCGCAATTTATCAATACGTTCTATATTTAATCAATAAAGTTTATATCATTATTAGTGTACTACTTTCTTGTTGTATAATATATACTTCTTTATATTGAAGAAAATGAGATTATAGTGGACGCTAAGGACAAAATGAACTTGGATATTATTTTGAAATGTCAAGGTCTTTCTCATTAATCTTATAAAAATTATTTATATTAAATAAATTCTTTCTTTTTTTGATCACATGATTTAGAGCTTTAAAATTCTTTATTTTTGACTCAAACTGTCGTATTAGTGATTAATATTTTATTAGAATAAATTCATAATATTTAATCACAGATTTTTTTTGTTTTTGAGTTTATAAATATAACAATCATTTCTCTCCATCGTTCAGTTCAATTTCGCTAAAGAGAGAGAAAATTAAAAAAAGTCCTTGTCTCACTTTTTACAAGACTAAAAATTGCATAACTAATTAAAGCTTTAGTAAAAATACATAAAAGAAATTTCTTTTATTTCCTCATCTCATTCACAGATGCCTCATGAATCAAAGATAAAATGTTTTACTTCAAAATAAAAAATGTTTGCATTGCTTCAAGTAAAAAATATAAATATATTTATTCATAATTTGTCGTTTTATGGGCAATTCTAAATTCTATTAACAATATAACAGTCACTTCTATTTGAATATGTGTGTTCGTCGGTGGTTATTCATAATTTTCTTTTGATGGTTATTAATATATATATATATATATGTTGTATCTATATTTTCTCTATTTCTTCTTTTTGCTTGTTTGTTTATAGAACAGTTCGACATTATGGGAAGATTTAGTGACGAAAGCAAGCAAACTACATGTTCAACTGAAGTAAGTTGATAATAATTTATATACATATTGACAATCAAAAAAGAAGAAACGCATACAGTTCCGTTGGGAGAGGGAGAGAGGACAAAACAGCCAAGGACTTGTAAAGAGAACAGCATGTTTAATACCACTAAGAAGTAAAAAAAAAGGAAAAAAAGCTCGGAGAGACAAAATTGATTTAGATGGAAATGTTTAAAAGCTTTATATGATTTGTTTGAGAGAGATGAGCACATCACATCTATTTCAACGATAGAAATAGAAGGATGTGATGAGAAGAAGAAAAAAAAAAGAAGAAAAATCAACTATTTGCACTATTGCTCAGAAGAGACAATTGAAAGACGGAGATAAATGATTCTATCAGAAAGAAATCTGTCTTATATCTTGAAAAGTTTAGTAATCATACAACACACTCATTTTTAAAGGAAAAAAGAAGATCGATGCTTTATAATTCACTTAGAGAAGAAAAGAAAGATATCTTCTCGAGACACTTATTCTTGAAATACAAACTTAGTATATGATCGGAGAAAGGGAGAGTAAATGGCATATTTTTTCAGTTTTTCTCTTCTATGATAACAACGATCTAATAAACTTACTAAAGCTAATTGTAGTTATTTTCAACTAATTTATAGAACAGACAAGTCTTCTAAAAAAACACGATCAAATTTGCTTTTTATTCTAACATATGGATAAATTTTTCAATTTTGACCTTTTTACGCTCACTCAAATAAGATATATAACAATTCACATTTATATACTACTTTTGATAAATTTTGAATGTTTGTTGAAAAAAAAAAGATATCCTGATCGATGAGCCAAATTATTGTTCATTTAAAGAATTAAGTACGATTCGTTTCAAAAACAAATATTTGATCATTTTTCCTGTGTAAACAAACAAATACATACTACTCTCACATATCTACAATTTTAAAAGATGAATTTTCACGCGATAGAATCATATTTTAACTTTAGATTTTTCTGTTCCTATTGAGAGTATAACCAGATCCTTTTTTTTTTTCACACAACCATGAATAATGTTTGCCGATTTGTTATGTAGATGAACTTGATAACAATCGATTTTTCTCTGTTTTTTTTTTAAATCATTATTTATGAATTTGCACATCATCCATTTTATCAATCAAGTCGTTCGAATAAAGAAATGCTAACACGCACTTATAAAGAAGTTATAAGAATAAATGATAATCGTGCAGTTGAAAAGTGTCATTTTAGTGTATGTTACACAGCTGTCACAATATTTCCCAATTCTACGTCAACTACTAATTGGTTATGATTAAATGATAAAAGCAGCATGAGCGCTTTAAAAGAGTTTGCAAATTGAATATGTTTTTATTTTTCCATTACATAAATAGGCTAGACACTTTTACAGTAATGACCGAGATATATAGAAAAAAAAAGATTAGTATGTTAAGTGTTGAAAAATACGATCGCATATGTGTGTGTGTATATATATATATGAAAATTAGACTTTAAATATGTCCGGCGTTCATTCTGCGACATTCGCTTTATAGCTCATTGCTATTCTCCCTCTTCTCTACATCAATAAAAATTTTGACACTCTCAACATAAACACCTCTATATGTGTATTTTAGTCTAATTGTTCTACGTATACGTAGTAAATTGTCAGTGTGAAAGTATTCATTTTGACATTTATATACTGATCCCACTTCCTACCTTTGTATTGAATGAATTTTTTTCTCTCTAATAACAATCTCATTTCATAGTTTGTGCCGACGGCTTCTATATTGAACATTTTCTTTGCTATAGGTCTTTTTTTTCTTCTATACGAATCAGTATAACACTTTTCACCTTCAACAACAAGTCGTCATAATTATATTTGAAGGCATTTTTTTTTTTCGACAGAAAAACCTAGTCAATATAATGTTCACATTTCAAATTTTTTAAATGTCATGAACATTTGTGAGGAAAGAAATGAACGATATTTGAATGTATATCTAACGTTTGTCAATAAAACAAAACAACAGTTGTACAACATAACACGTTGCCGCAAATGAATTTGAAAAAAGAGCACTCACCAGAAGCAGTATTAAGCATAGATCTCATTTTATAGAATTTCTGTTCATATATCACTTTACTATTTCATTGATGATGTTATTGTTCAAAGAAGATCTCCCTTTTGTAATAACCTTCACGTATAGACAAAAATTTCAATAGAAATTCTGACCAATTTTTATTTTATAAAAAATGAGATCGATTCTGTCGATAGAATAAGTTCATTTTCAAGATAGACATAAGACTTATCATGATGTCTAATGGTGTCTCGAAATTTGACTTATATGTTATCAGTTTTATTACAAGAAATTAGTGTAAATGTCAGTTCCCAATATAGATTAGTAACACATCTGTTATTATTGTTATTAGTGTTAGATGAGACATTTGTCTACATTCTGAAATCGTCGTTTGTTTTGTTTTGTTTCTAAGAATGTGTATCCACACATACACACACACGTCATTTTTATTGAACGTACAATGGATTCTTGTCATATTAAGTTGATTCACAATTCTTTTTCTTATAGTATTTTTTATGAGCTTGTTCATTAGTAACGTCGCAAAAATGTTCTATTGAAGCTTGAATAGAATAAAGAAAGAAGATAACATGCCAAAAAGTTAATGACTATCATTTAGATAAGCCGATATAAACAATCCTATTATATAGCTTCATTAATCATTCTTCTGAATAGAATTGTATGTTCTTCATTATAAAGAATTAAGAAAAAATACAAAAAGTTGACTATGTGTTGACGGAATGATCGAACAGATATTGAAATGTAAATAAATACCGATATGATGCAAAGTTAAAGAAAGATGGGCTAGTTTGATATAAAAATCATGTTCACAATCGAAATGTGTATTTTTCGAACACTTTACATTAAAATATTGTCGAATATTGAAACGTTCTATTGTCGTTCTATTTTAGAGCTACACTCATCGCTTTCAGTTCGTTTTTGGATGCATTTCAACGAATTGCTGACTTAGCAACAAATACAAAAGGTTAGTTCTCTAAAACGAACTTACCAACATTATAGTTCAATACTTCAATCTTTCTATAGGTCAAACGCGAGATATCGGCACAGCTTTAACTCGATTATGTTTAAGACATAAGGCAATTGAACAAAAATTAAAATCTTTTACAAGGTATTTATAATGATCATTTATCATAAGATAAATAAAAATTGAAAAAATTTACTGTTCTAGTTCCTTGATTGAAGCTTTCGTTCAACCATTGAATGAAAGAATTGAAGATTGGAAAAAGTCAGCCAATACACTAGATAAAGATCATGCAAAAGGACTTAAAGGTAATGTTGTATTATACAAGTGAAAATCACTAGTCCATTATTATTAAAATTTTGATTTTAGATTATAAAAAACTTCGCAATGAATTACGAAAAAAAGCTACTGAAACAGTAAAATTGAGGAAAAAATGTAAAAAATGTATGTATTTTGATTTATTTTTGCTTAACTTGAACATAATCATTTTCAAATAACTATTGTCTTTTTAGTACCGAAAAATGATATATTGCACAATAAACTGAATAGTGCTATTCAAGAAGTTAGCAATTATTATTCAATGCTTGAAGAACGAGAAAAACACGCATTACGATCGGCAATGATCGAAGAAAGGAGCCGTTTCTGTTCGTTGTATAATTTTATTAAACCAATTATGGTACGTTTAAAGAGATGTGCATTAACGATATAATCAATTTTATTTCCCTATTTTTTTCCAGGAACTTGAAATATCGATGTCAACTGAAATGAGTCATGTTGAAGATATTGTACAATGTTTAAACAAACAAACATCAGAACCAAATTGTTTACCAAGTGCAAGCGAGCAAGTCATTAAAGATATTAAAGGAATCGATTATAGTACAATTGTTGCATTTAAAGTAAACTTCAATTCATGTAGTATTTGCATTCTTTTATATACTCACAATATGGCTTTTTAGACACCACCATCATCGCCCGGTTCTCTTAGTAGTCGAAAATCGAGTATTTGTTCTATAAATAGTATCAGTAGTTCATCGAGCAGTTCAACAAATTCACATAGTCCTCAACATCATAAACAAATACAAATTGTACATCATAATGGTCAATATATCCATTCGCAATATAATCAAAATAACAAACCGATGCCAGTAAGATCAAAAATGTTCGACGCCCCTGACATCAATTCTATTTATTTATGATATTCTAGGGTGTTGTTGCTGTTAGTCGATTATCTAGTGTATCCTCACAAGATTCAGGATTTACATCACAAGAACAGTTTTTTGCTCGTCCACCATCTCCGCTTGAAGAATCAGAGGTACATACTTTTATACGATATTACTAATTCATTTATTCTTTACTGTTAATTTTAGCGTGAATTAGACGGTAGTGCTAGTCCATTACTTGTTGTTTGTAGTACATTGAATGCTTGGGCTAAAAGACCAGAACCATCAACAGGAAAACATCCGCATACTGTGACGGGAGCACCTGAACCAGCTAAATGTACGCGTCCTGCTATCACTGCTCACACATTTGATCCACCTGATCCTAGCTTATTTGAAAAACCAAACTGGAATATATACGAAGAAACTGGTCAACAAATGCGCTCACCATCGGTAGTATTACCTTTTTTCTGTAGTTTATTGCAAAATAATTTTTAATTTGAATTTTCTCAATATTTAGATATCTGAAGATGGTCCCTATGGCGTTTTATCTCGTCAACATTCAGTGCCATCTCGCCGTTGTCGTATTAGAGATTTAAGTCTTGAGAGATGTTCGCCAATGCGTGATCATCCAAATTCAAGATTAAAAGTCGCCCAACCACCTTTATTACCTGAATATTATGGTATGCGTGCGAATATGACGATAGATGAAAATAATGAACAACAACGTCGAATGAGAAGCGCAACATTGCCGTCGGAAGCAATTGTAAGTGTTTTATTGTTTCATTTTTTTGTAATTTCTATAGATTATACCCTTTTTTGAAGGCAATTGATACAAAATCCATTGTGTGGCGTGATCGAAATCGTCAACAATACACACATAACTCATCAACAACCACTCTTTCAGAAGATACACAGTATTCAACAAGTAACTATTATGGTCAGTTGCAACCTTCATTCGACTCTGTTGATGAAACCCTTGATGAAAGTACGTATCATTGTTCTCTTACACTGACATGCAATCTATCTGTTATTATCTTCTTTCTTTCTAGTGTATGAATATTTGTCGAGAAGTAATAAATGTTTGATATTTATAAGATCTATTTTTAATATTTTTTTAGTTTTGTTTGATATTTATATCTATCTATTTTTATTTTATCTATTTTGGTATTTCTTCTAGGCGTGCCGAATAATGATCGTGACCAACAAAATTCATCATCAACTAAAAATTCCGTCGAGTATCTTCGTCGTGGCATGTCTGTCATAGAAAAACCTGCACCACCGATTCGTCGTACACCGTCGATGAATACATCAACAACGACATGCAAAATGGCTCCATCACTAATGACAAAATCTTCGTGCGTAAAAGATGATGCCTATATTGAACTTCAATCACGTCTCAAAGCAAGACTCAAACGTGCTGAAGAATTGGCTAGTGCTGTTGAATGTCAGACAGCAGGAAATGTAAACAGTATGAACGTTGTAAATGTAAATAATAATAATACGAATGGGTTAAATAGTAAAAAGCCGAATATTATGCAACAGCAACATCAGTCGACGTCTAGAAACTATGATAACGACATTAATATACGGGATGACTTTCCTCCGCCACCACCTGATTTCTTTTTTGACGATTGCCAGAAATCAACGACTTACAATCCTTCTGTACATTTGAACAATTCACCTAACGTTGGATCCGTACCAATTCAACATAACACAAATGAGACATCAAAAAATTCATCATTTCTGCAAGAAATTCAACGTGGAATCAAACTTCGTAAGACAGTCACAAATGATAAATCATTACCGAGAATGAAATAATAATTTAATTTATTTAACATTTTTATTGGCCTCACTTTCTCAGGAATCTTTTCGTCTATACCTGAACACACTAAATTCTATTCTACATTTGCCTATGCAATAAAAATCTCAGGTCATCATTTTAATTTGTGTTATTTTCTTCCGCTCTTTTACTTATTTTTACATTTTGCCATTGTAGTATTTTTGATTGTCGACAATATCCTACAACCCAAAATACGACAAAATGAAATGTGTAAAAGTCTTTTTAATATGTACACTTCCTTTTTTTCTCCTTGATTTTGTGTTTAAATTTGACGTTAATTATGTTAATTTGTTTTACGAAAAACGATCGTACTTTGTGCATTTTTCAATAAATACTCCCAACTTTCAGGATAACGGTATTTTACGGCTTTAATACCAGAATTAGGAAGTGCCAACCTTTTCGAGTATTCATCAGGAAATCCAGTCTTTTTTGATATAAAGACTGACAAAATCCAGTTATATGAAAAAGCGTAATCTGTGTCAAATGTATACGACTAAAATTCGTTGGATAGAAAACTGAGATATAGTCAGAAAATATTAAAAGTTTTATTCAAAAGTCAGATCTCTCGAACAAACACTAGAAACCGATGATGTCGCTACCATCGAATATGGAAATATTACGCACGGTAGCGCCACCAGCGACCTTTTCCATTAACAGTTGATTGTCGGGCAAATTTGATCATTTAAAACAGAATATATTATAATTTTGACTTAAAACTAAAATTTTTATCCAATAAATTTGAGCCTCACACATCAACAAAGAGATGGCGCTCACCCGCCCTTGATTGTATGAGTCATCACGTGCCAGTCTACAGACTGTTTATGGATAATTGTTCAATTGTAATGTGTCAACAAGTTGTATAAGTAAAATTTCGTTTCCTTGACTAAAAATAGGGGTGGCACAGTTCCAGTTCCTAAGAACCGGTCACTAGTTCAGTTCCTGTTGAACGGAAACTGGTTACCAGTTCTCTTCAAGAATTCAGAGTAAAATAAAACCGATGTAGCTAGTTATATTGACTTGGTTTAGTCAACTAAATACACCATCAACCTCTGGCGCACTACACAAAGTCAATGTAAGTAGGTTCACCGGTTTTATTTCAATTTTAATTTTTTCAATGCGAACTATCACCAGTTCCCGTTCAAAAGGACTGAACTGGAACTGTTCCTCCTCTACTAAAAAAACAAGAATAAGAAATTCCATTTGGTCTCAACTCAAACTGACTAACACATGTAAAATACAATATCAGAGCCTTTCGTAATCAAAATAATGGCTGTAAATTCCACAAAGTTCGCCGTAACTCGAAGGAAAGCTATCGCTTTTTGCTGTATTCATCCGCTGTCCACATTTAACCCATAACGTCAACTGCATTTAATTTTTTTCTTGAGACGTTACGCTCTATTTATTGAGACGTTTCATCAATTATCAGTTGACACAACCACTCTTCATCAAATATTATACTATACTTCATTTTTTTCTGCAGACCCTAGGCTAAGGGTCAAAGAAACGTATATGGTATAGGCACACCCTGCCTCAATAAGTTATTGAAACAGGGTGGTTGCCAGTGTTTCTAATGATTGGTGGTCCCCGTGAGAGCAAAGTATTTTTCCACTTTGAAAATTCGATTTTCACTCTATTTTAACAGAGAAAACATGCAAAATGCAGGGGTAATCTGTAGAAAACCACTTTGCTTAAAATTCGCATCAGAAACGCTGGTGGTTGCTATATTAACTATACTATATATTTTATCATGCTTTAACTCAACCACGTTTATCCCATCTGGCTATCTGAAGCACTTATATCTGATTTCCTAACATCAAGTGTAACAATTAAGGAAATGATTTTAGAGCAAATTGCGTACCACGTATTTGCTATTGTGGTATTGCATATCAAACGCTCAATAGAGTTAGTATAGTTGCTTTAGTTTGTTGAGCGGACACCGAAACTTTTTCACTTTTTTTACTTAAAGGACGAGGTGCAATAAGAACGAGAATCGGCCCCATTCCAAATCTTCTCGAAAGGTGTCTAGAATGGAAGTGTTTCCATTGAGTGATTTTATGGTGTTGCAGACCCCTGGTTTTCCTTCGGACTTAATATCTCTAAGAAAATCGTTTAGCTCTGAAAGAAATTTTAAGATCACTGTGTTTTTTAGAAAATCGGGTTTTTCAGAAGTCTCTACGTTACACCTTAGGAGCTTGGGTTAATTTTTCTCCATCGAAATATACAGAACTCGACACGCTCTTTCATTTGATACCAACTTCAAGGTTCTACGTTAGGAAATGTGGTCAGCAGACGTTCTACAAGTTAGGCCAAATCTGCCGGAAAATAATGAAAATGCATTTTTCCGAAGCGAAGGTAAAATGGTTATAACTTTTTTTCTAACAAGGCTAGAGATTTGCGGTTTTCACCATTGGGCTCAGCTTGCTGAACTCTATAATATGAGTAGGTCTCGTCACTGATGTCAAAGGTCGATGTAAACGGTGGTAGGTTTTATATGGATTGAGCCTATCCGTCAATGCCGAAAACATCACTCTCCAGTAGTAATATCCTAAAAAGTAAGTGTTCGTACTATCAACTAGAAATGAATTACCAACCATTTTGTAGCGTTTTTGAAGAGCTTTCTGCTAATACATGTTGTAGACCGTAACCTAAGTTCTTTCATGACAAAAACATAGAGACATTATCCGTCAGTACCTCAGTATGCCGAAACATCACTCTTCAGTAGTAACATCTAAGAAAGTGATTGTTCGCACTTGCAACTAGAAATGAATTACCAACCATTTTCTAGAGTTTTCAAAGAGACCGCAACCTAGATTCTTTCATGGTGAAAAAATAGAAATACTATCGTGGACTATGCCGGAGTTGCCGTTCAGGGGGAGGGCTAGCTTAGGGATCGAAGGGACTAAAAACTTTGCTTCGCAGAAAGTGGCTGGCGAAAAAGTTTTCGAAATTTTTGGCAGAAAGTTGCTAGTAGAAAAACGTCAAAAATGTTGCCAGAAAGTCAAAAATAATTTCCAGGAGGTTACCGGGAATCCTGAACTATGCTGAAAAGATCATTTTTAACAGTAATATTCCCAAAACATGGGTGTTCGCAGTGTACATAACAATTGAACAATAGATAGTTTTGTTTGCCATTTAAAGCTGCATCAAATGGTATATAAGACTTTCCTTTAAACTTGTTTCATTCTGAGAGAAGTACGATCAACACATCGTAATGGGTTCTCGAAGCTATTGGTCAAAGCTAAACGATTTTCTTAGAGATATCAAGTTCGAAGGAAAACCAGGGATCTGGAACACCATAAAATCGCTTGCTCTTCCATTCTAGACACCTTTCGAGAAGATCTGAAATGGGGCCGATTCTCGTTCTTATTGCACCCCGTCTGTTCGAAAAAAGAAAGTATTTAAGAAACCTCAGTGCAAAATTGATATTTGTGCTCCACGTTAGTTTTTTCAGGTGGAACAATAGATAAGAGCATATCATTGAATGTTATTTGTGGTAGTCAGATATACAGTCTGAGAATCATCGATAGATCATGGCTAAATATTTGTCTTTTCCTAATTGAATCACCTAATTGAATTAAAAAACTGAAATTGTTTGTCGAAGACAAAATCACCTTTCTTGTAGAAAGTATGTCTGTGAACAATGCTTATCTAATTGTTTTATCATAAATATAATCAAAAAATGTTTTGATTTCAATTGTTTGTAAGTAAGTATTATTATAGAGAATGAATAATATTGATATTATTCAAAGATCAAATGTCCAATGAATTAGAAACCAACTTTCCTAGTTGATATTCCGACTAAGACTCAAATTCAAGAGTCCCCTCTCTGATTGTGAAATATCCATAACTCTATATACTTTAAACTCGAAAATACATACTGTTTTAATTGACAAAGCTTTCTAAGTAGCTGAGAAAACAGCATTACAAAAATTGTAAGAATTCTTGAAATTTTAATCGGGAAAAAAGTTGTAGAGTTATCTGAATTCTAGAAAAGACAAATTAAAACAGCATCAAGCAATACACCATATTGCTGCAGCATATAAATGTTAATAGGAGACCTGTATCGAAGAATTATTTCGTTCCAAACGTTTCTGAGGTCCTGAGACAGTCAGACATTTTAAAAAGCATCCATTTATTGACATAGGTTGATGCGTTTTTTTGAAAAATATTGTATCATTATTTTTCTTGTCATTTAGATGTGAATTTTATTCTGGAGGTTTTTTACCCATCATAAATTACACATTGTCAACAATATCAAGTTAACGAAGGAGCAATGGACGAACAAATAAATATTTTTCTTATTAGACAGACGACGTCTGATTCCCGTCACTTATTCTAAAGAATCAACGACAAAATTGCGCTTGTTTTTAATCTCAATGACATTTTCATTCGAAAAAATATTGATTTAGTAACTTATTCGTGTTTCTGTTGAAGAAAGGTTTCTACATCAATATTTATTTTATGACAGCATTTTCATATCAGCTGTTTCTCTTGACCTAACAGGTAGTTCTCGAATTTATATTAAATGTTGTTGTCAAATATGCCTCTTAAATGTACAAAACATTTTCGAAGTGAATTAAATGTTAAGAACATGTAAATAATATTCACAAACGAGTCATAAAACAGTTGTACAGACTGTGAATAATATTGATATGATTCGAACAGATCAAATGTTCAATGAGAATATTCAGAATTCATTGAATTCTTCAACGTTAGAAGTTTTGACGACATCAATCAGTACTCCATTGTTACAAAAAGAACAAATGCGGTCTGAACCAAGTATTTAGTACAAGTACGCATAACATCACAGTCTATCGAAATCAATTCACTGACTATTATCATTTCTTATAGGCCAAACAGGATCCGGCATTGTATCTGCTGCGTATTCTTTATTTATGAATAATCCGTCGTCATCATACGAATCAGTTTCAAGCTTTTGAAACAAGCGATCGCTTGTACGTATCAGATAACTGAAAGA